TATACTATAAATGGAGATGTCATAGCCGAATTGATTGAAGATTCATGAATTTATGCAAAAAACAATATGGATATCAACTAAAAATGCTTTTCGTGTTGATTAAACTAATCTTTTCTTTCTCATTCCTTCAAAATATCTAACCCCCAAAAGACGTTCAGTACCATGAACAAAATCGCTTCACTATTTTACCCTGGCTAATTACTGAGTAAAGGTTACACCTTTACTCATAAGAATGTCGCAAAAAACAAACTATTTCGAATGCTTGTACGGTATATATAGCGAATAAAAAACAGAGGAGCATTGCGGATATATCCGTAAAATGCCTTAAGAAAATCATTAAGGTATTAAGGTTTTCTTGAAACGGGAATTTAAAAAATAGGAAATTTGAATTTATTCAGAAATATGGATAATATATTAAAAAAGTAAACGTAGGAGGATAAAATTTCGTAAAGCAATGGCATAATGATAAAACCGTGGAAAATTTTTTGCATGCGTATTATTTTAAAGTGCAGACAATACAACTTTTTCATTTATATATCTTTTCTTAATGGCCCACTAGAAGTGGTCTTATGAATCGTGCTTTACGGTAATTTCTCTTTTAATGCAGAATGCAGTTTTCAAGGACATAGTGACGAATACTTGGCTGACAAAGTATTCTTTGGAAAGAAATGCTATTCAAATAAATAAAATTAAATTTAAAAAAAAAAATCTGAAAGGTTTCAGATTTTAAATTACGTCCAAAAGGGCGTTTTTTTAACGTTTTGTGTGTTACCTTTATTTATTAAATATCATGTTCTTTGCACTTAAACCATAAAATTCAGTTTAATAGCAATGTCGCAAAATAATTTTAAAATGAGCCTATCTTTAGAATTTCCGATACACAGTTCCGCGCGCTGGAGATAAAAAGGTTTTTTCCCCATAGAGTGTTGCCATTGCTCGCTTGAGTTTGTAAATCAAAAATTCGTTAAAGTTTTTAAAAAATATGAAATCGATCATAAAACAAATTCCAAATTTCAAATTTGGTCTTCCACATGCCCATATTCGTAGGAGGACTACGTCATTCAAAATTCGATGGCTCTATTGTTTTATCATAGTGCGATAAATATACATACATTTATGCAGATTTTTCATTATTTAACTTCTTCAAATATAATGCGGGACTCTTAACATTTGGTGGCAACAGTTTGAAAAGTGAAACGGACATTTATAGTGATTCAACGCAAAATCGCAAAACAAAAGCAATAGTCTTTGAGGGACAAAGTCCCTTTGGACTAAAAAGTATATATGAATAAACATGTGTTACAAATTTTGTACATAGATAGATAATTTTATTAAAATTATGCGCAAAAGTTTTGTATAATGTAACATGAAAAGCTCAGAGAAAAGATGCTCTGCGGGAAAATACGAATACAGGGGCAAGTCTATTTTAACATTGAGTAAGTGGCTATCTCCCCAGTTTGGCTAGATACCGTAATGGTTTTGGCAACTAATTATCTTTTTTTGTCGTTCAGATTTTCTTGAAATATATGTAAAATATATTAAGTCCTAGGTTTTAAAAATATCCCTCCCTTTGGCGGGCAATTAACCGACGTATGCTTGGCCTTTACTAACGCCGAAGTGGTGGCCACTTTATTAAGGATGCACTAATAGGATTCGAACCCGGGCCCTTTGGTATCGCAGTAGGGTCCCCTAACCACTATACCGTTTGAGTGGGGGTTTTAAAAATAAAGTCTGAAATACTAATAAATTTTAAACCTGATAAGTACTGTGGTTTCGAAAGGCGTTTGATTCTATAGCGATTAATATTCAAGCTTTAATTAATAATATATGGAAAGGTCTTATTGAGTATACATTTCTACTAGATTACATAACCTATTAAATAATTATAGCATCGGAAATGTAAGTGATGTAATTTCTCTATTTTAAATTTTGAGTACTAGGAGCAATTTTTTAGCGTTACTGAACTTCCAAACAAGGTGCTATTTCTATTAATGTTTATTTATAATTTCTACAATCCTGCAAGAAAAGTTTCGTTTCACTTTTAACAATTTTATTTTAATTTTCAATACCAGGATCTAGTATAAATAGATTGAAATTTTTACCGATTGCACGTACATTTTCTTCGTTCTGTTTCAAATGCAAAAGTCAGTCATCAAGTACGTAGGTTAAGTATGGGTGTATCAGAGTAAACAAATTTAGTCGCTAGTTTCAAATCTGTCAAATTTTTGGAATCTCGAGTCTACCGAATGCTTAAACTTTTACGATTTGGCAATAGCAAATATTGCTTTGATTTAAAACAAGAGTTATGCGGGTATGATGTTTCAGATTTTTAGCTTATAGTTTTAGAAAATTTTGTCATTAACTCATCTTGAAGGTATCAGACTGCAATCAAACATTTTCAGATTGACATTTTTATTAAAAAAATTAATTTTGAGCTTTAGTCAAAAATCTAAAACAATTTCTTTTCCTTTCTTTCGGTCTCTTTTTTCCTTTCCCTCTCTTTTTTTTACCTTTCTTGTTTCGTTTTCCCTTTCCTCATTTTTTTTTTTTGTTCTTTTTTTTTTTTTCTCTTCCTCTTTTTAGGAATTTTGGGTTATTTTGTTTAGCCATTACGTAAAAGGTGTCAGATTGCAAAAAAGATTCAATAAAAAGTATCACGTGAAGCTTCTTTGACCTCGTTTGACCGCACATTTTATTACTCTTGAAATAAAATCAAACATGTCTGTGCATGCTATCCGTGTTGTAGGTATTTGCATATTCTGTTCCCAAAAATTAATGTACCTGTTTGTCATTATTAGGCATGAATGACAAGATTCAGAATCCATTAAAACTACTTTGACAAACTACTTTTAGCTGTGAGGCGACAATACAAGCTATCAGCAAAATGGAAATGCAACTTGATCTCGGTTGACCTTTCCGGGCAACAGTTTATCATGGTCACTTTCCCAACTGTACATCTCGTAGACTTTGCTATTACTCTGTCTCTAAAGAAAGCCTGAAATGTTATGAGTCATTCGTATTTTCTCGCACATTATTGTTGACGCCAGAGAGATGAGAATGTCGTAGCGATGAATGATTATTAATTGCAGAAAGCGTTAAAGCGGGAGAATAGAAAACAAAGGCACTTATGTCCTGCTTCTGTCGTTATTATTGACATTAGAAAAGTCTTTAGCAACATCTCTCCAAAATTTTGGACACTTTTATGTTACATTACGCTACCACCTGTATATCAACTATTCTCTTGGATAAGTGTTGCCACCTGCAAAGAAAAAAGCCTTTCATCTGCGAGTTAAAGTATAATCTCAAAGTAAAGTAAAGTTCTCAGAGTGTTGCCATTCAGAAAAAAGTAATGTTTCTAAAATTTATTCAGTCTATAATTAACAGACTGAGCGAGAATTACAAACGAAATCCTTAATAAATTAAAAATTTTCATTTTATTTTTTAATGATATATCTAAGCGATGTAAATTAAAGTAGGCTTTAAGTTTTATTTGCAAAGTTATTTCAATTTATTACAGACTTTTCTAATATAGTATTATGTACCCGTTACAGAATCTTTTTTGTTTCATTTTTTGTATTATATTGTATTATATATGTATTTGTATTTTGTAAATAATTATTTCTTCTTTTTTTTCTTCAAAGGATAGAGCCATTTTTAATAACGTTGATTTGATACAGCACGGTTCTTTTCAGAACTCGGAAAAATACTAAATCTACAATATTCATTTCGTAATTACACTTAAAGAGACACTGTATATTCAGACTCTAAGAACGATTTCATTTTGAATGCATTAATTTTGTTCGAGCGAAATACTAACATTTTCCAAATAAGAAAATGGACAATAGTTAGTTTACTAAATTGTCAGCCTAATGAATACAGTAGGAGAGAAGTCATGGTTGTACAAATTATTGAAGAACTGTTGAAAGTTCTGGTGAAAGTCTTACAAGGTTTGATTTTTGCCTTCTTTGGTTTACCTAACCTCATATACATTGTTCAACCAAATTATCGTCCTCAGAAATCAGTAAAATGTACCGCTCAAGTAAAATCTCTGAACTCGTTTTATCTGCGCGTGCATTAAAGTATTTCCAGATGTACACACAAATAACAAGACATTCACTGCATAAATCTTGACATTTTCAAGATTACAAAATTTTAATTTGGGACATCATTTAGTGTTTTTAGAATTGGCGAGACACGCGAAGCGGATATTCTTGATCTATCTTCCATATATCCAGAATAAAATTTCCGTGCACTCATAGTTGCCAAAACGTACATTCTTTCAAGATGATTTGGGATTAGTTTTTCCTCTTACAGAAATCGGAAAAAAAAATAAAAATAAAAATAAAAACTCAAATTTACGCAAAGCGTTATTTTTAAACCTCCGATGTAAGTTCTTATCTGGAGAAAAGCAACTAAACTTGTTCTCTGCTAATATTTACTTGAGCTTCTCTGGAGAGAGGAAATGACAGGCGATGTTCGTTACATGTGTGGACGAGCGATTTTTTCTGCTCTAACTTGTTCGATGTGCGAGTATATTTATATAAAATGTGCTGCAAATATAGTTACAGTTAGCCGCACGAAGATTTAAGTATTCTACCACTGTTTTTAATGCTGCTACAATTCTTACTTTTATCCACATATATAAATAAAAATTATGATTCAAGTTAATGTTATAAACAAAGTAGTATCCAGATAAAGCATGTTTGGTCCCATGTTCTTTTGTCCATCTTACAATGTGTTAAAACGATCCAGTTTAACGTGATTCTGTTAGTGTTGTGCTTTCGAGGAAGTTTCATTTTTATTGAGATTTTACTTCTTCAGGGATGTTATGGTAATCGGAAGTCAATATCTTCTACAAATTCCTACATAAAACTAAAAAAGATATGATTATATTCCAAATAGAAAACAATAAATTTTCAGAAGTTTTTGAATATATTAAAACTATATTAAACTACATTTACAGTTATAACTTTGTTTCTTAACCTACAATTTCATTCTAGGTTCTGCAGATCTCTTGAGGGCCGTTAGCATAGAACATGGACTTGTAGGAGTTAGTCAGACGACAGGAATCTGCGATAACAGGGCACTTAGGTTAGACGAAGATGGTAACCCCGTTTACGGTGCACCGGACGTTGCTTTCAGCATTGCTCAAACTGCTGTGCTGACTGTCACTACCTCGCAGCTCTTTACAGGTAAGAAGTTTCATTTTTAAGTAAAACCAAGGATGAGAAATGCCAGAATAAAATTTAATATGAAACAATGGGATATTATTTCTAAAACGCGATGCCGTATAAGTGGAATAACGTAAAATAATACCATTCTTAATGATATAATAAGCATGATTAGATACTTTAGATTTTATCATATATTTTGAGAAAAAAACCACGCATAGTGAAGAAATTCCTTGAATCATTTAATTAAAATGAATACTTAACAAATGCTGACTGGCAGCTGCTAATTATGCTTCCTCCAAAATATGATAAATGCGCACCTCCATATGCGATGAAATTAACTATCTGCACAATTTTATATTCAACAAAGGTAAAAGTGCTAAATAATAGGATAGCTCTTGTAATCAATTTAAGTTGTCCGAAGTTTATTTCACTCAAACAGTAGTAAATGGCAATCAATGTTAAAAACAATGTTAAAAACATTTTTCATGCATTCTCCGAATTCAGGTATGACTGAAAACAGTATTCTTGAAGCACTTTTAAAAGGTAAGGTCTGATCCTGCTTAGGGATCAGAGTTATTGAAATAGAGTGGTTCAAAACTAAATATTTCGGATGGAGTACTTCGGGTATTTATATCATTTAAGTGATAAACTGCTTATCGAAACTGCCTGATAAATTCTGCACCATTTAGAAACTAGAAATCGGAACTAACTCGTTAAAGTTTTCATATCTCCATTTTAGTTGTGAGGTAAAAATATCTGTATATTCCCACATTTCTACTATAAAAATATTTTTCTGAAAAATTAGTTCTTATATCAATTTATTCTTAACGATCTGATTTACTAAATTTTATTTTTCCATTTTCTTCATATTCTGTTGATATATTCATCTCTAAAGTTAAATTTTCACATTTCTCAAGAAGATCTGTCATTTCCTGTAAAAGAAAAAAGAGAGAGAGAGAAAGATAATTCTTCTATTATGTTTATGTTTGATTCAGTATGGCAAAGCAAGACGAGGGTTATGTGCCTAAGAAGAGAGATTTCGTTGTAGAGGACTTTTTAAAGGAAACTGGCTCGTGCAAAGTTTCATACTGGTAAAACCATGAAAACGCCCTGCAGCTAACTAATTTGTTGGGAATCGATATTAAGTTAAGCCATCTATTAAACATGAAGATTTATGTTCAGCTACGGATTTGATCGCAAGATATTATTTAGCTTTTCTGTTTCTTACAACATTAAATTCCACGAATAAAATTTTAAAAATTTGCTTAAAAAAAGCTGTTAATTTCAACCCATTGAAGTGATATAACATTTATTCCCTTATAAAAATTTGAAGGATTTATATAAATACAAAGCAATATTAAGGAGCTGAAATGTCTCTTGAAACGGGCAGTTCATAAGCATGTAAGGCTGAGATGTGGTAAGTCCCAAGGACTTCATCTGGCTTAGCTGGATCAGCAGTGTCATACGGAGTGGCTGAAACGAGCTGAAATGTCTTTTGAAACGGGCAGTTCATAAGCACGTAAGGCTAAGCTGTGGTTACTTCCTAAAGACTTCAGCTGACTTAGCTGTATCAGCAATGTCATACGTAGTGGGTGAATGACTGGTGATCACTAAATAAGGTTCTTTACCCTAAACAAGTTTGTACGGCATAAATTTTCGGCCTTTTTTATTTATTGATCTCCTAATAAGATGCAGTGTCACCCATACTTTGTCACCTGGTTTGTAGGAAGGTTTTGTTTTTGATGATCATTATACGTTTTTCACTTGTCTTGCTTCTGTTTGACGTGGTCTTTAAGCTTTAGGGTTAAAGGGGCAAATCGTTTGAGACATAGGGTTATCTCAACCACGAAGTTATCCACTAAATAAATCGTGCTAACATTATCTCTTGTTCTTAATTCTCTGCCAAATAGCACATAATCGCAAATATTCTATTAAGACGGCAAGGAATGAGGGATGATTCTTGACAACATCACTGAATATGGACGACGTCCCTGGTATAATTGTTAAAAATTTTAACAGAAAAAATGTTAAATATTTTCCAAAAATAGTACCTGATTTTTAAGAACTTCAGCATTAGCAAAATTTATCAACTTTAATTTAAAATTAATGCTATTTTAAAGGGAAACGTTTGTCATAATATGTTGATATTTAATATGATGGGTCATATGACACGCATTTAAAGTCAGACCAACTAAGCAGTGTTTCTAAAACTGAGGAAACAATCTGTATTGGAATAAATGCTAATTGAGAATAGAAACCGTTTCATTGAAAGTAGTGCAGACTTTATCCTTGTAGAAGGACACAAATTCTACATTGAATATTTCCTTGCAGTAATAATAGAAGCATATATTTATTATGGAGATCAATGATCTTCAACCATTTTATATTTACGAGAGCATCGGTAGCACCGTCTTTCTCGTGATAAATCGGTAAGTAAATATAATTAATAATGTGTAAGGCACCTGGCATATACAAATAAAAGTTAAACTGCTATACATTTCTACAATGATATATTACTTAGAATAAAGTAATGATATATTACTTAGAATAAAGGTAGGTCTCCAAATGAAAAGGGGACACATAAATGATACTATTTGCGTAAATATGCTGACCTTGCCAGGTGAAAAATATACATGAGTGCCCAAGATAAACATACCTGTCAGCAAAGATTATCCTGCTCATGGCTGTGTTACTAAGCATTAACTGCCTACACATAAGCACCCCGTAGATTGAAATAATACGTTGACATTTCATATAAGTGTACCACAGTGTTCCAATCTGGTCTACGAGATGATGAATACTATAAGGGAGGGATATATTCGGTTGCGTGAAGAACTATTCAGCTGTTTCTTGGATCTGATCGTCTTTTGTAAACCGGCTTCCCTTCAATACTTTTTAAGTGGGCTGAGCACATGGAAATCGCAAAATGACAAGTCAAAGCGGTAAGGGATGATGGAAAACAATCCAGTGGAGATACTGCACTAGATCTTTGCAAAAAGGTTTATCAGGAGGACAGACTTTGTCATTTAAAAGAATAATCTCTTTTGTTAACTTGCCACATCGACGATTCTTTGATGGCTGTTTTTAATTTGCATAAGGTATAGCAATAGTTGTTTGCATTAACTGTATCTCCCGTTTACAACCAATCCAAGAGCAAAAAGCCATTATCATTAAAAAAAATAAAAAAAAAAAAAAAAAAAAAACCCTTTTTCGTGGCGAGGAGAACCGGCATGTCGTCATTCTGTATTAATTTGCTTTATTGCTAGATCAAAGAAATGATAAGATGTTTCGTCGTAAGCCACGATTTAAAAAAGAAAGATTTTTCTTCGGTGTGATAACGAAGCAAATACTGGAAACAACCATACTCATTTAGAAAGACTTCTGGGCTTCAGTGAGCACAAACCTTGCTGTATTGCAAATTTTTATGCAGAATAAGCATCCGTTGTTCAGAGAAGACCTGTCTGCAATCTTTTGAGTGGTTATTCGACGATTCTTCTTCACAAAGGAGTTCACTGCAGTATAGTAAGCCACAATGTAAAGCACGGCGCAGAAGACCGTGGATATGTGTTTACGTTGTAGAAGAGGGTGATGAACATAGTCAGAAGTGAATCATATGCCTTCACGAAATAACTTACGAAACCTTTTTTTTATTTAACTGAATTAAGCTGTATTTAACATGGGAATAATTAGCTCTGTATTTAACTTAAAAAAGAAAATGTAATGAAAGGAATGATCAGTGGTAAATCAATAGTGAGGCTTAGGCCAATCGCAGTACAACGCATTGTAAGGATTATGTTAATTTTATTAACAGTTAAATTTTGAGTTAAAATTCCTTTCCTGTCAAATTCTTAACTTCAACTTACTGCTTCCGGCCACAACTTAGTTTTGGAATTTTTCTGAATACTTAATGAGGAGGAGGAGTATTTAAACCGCGAAGTTACTTGCAGAGTTAGAGAGAAGTGTGAAGTGTCTTAGTGAGAGAGAAGTTTGTGATTTACGCGCGTCTGCTTTTTGGCCACTCTCTCTCTCAAAGCTGTTATTACGCTCGGCTGTACTCAGGCCCTTGATAAGCTTCGTAGTCAAATAAAGTTAAGGGGCCAACTCGGTTAGAATCTTGATAGCATCGTCTATAAGCTATAATTCTTTAGTTAATCTTAGTTTTAGTTTAATTTTTAGTCGTTTAAGTTCAAGTCCAAGTGTCGGCTTTGATTATACACTCCAAGACAGAGTTTTGTTAAATCTTATTGGAATAATAAAGGGTTAGTTACTCTTCCATCTTGTTGTTTTTTGTCACACGAACTTAAGCGATTATTCGCTAACTAGTTCTTAAGATTCGTCACTTTCTACAGTAACTGAGAATTACACAGTGAAAATCTTACAAGATGTTCAGTTGGATACTGACAAACTGACGTAAATGATTAAATGAGATCAAACGTAAAACGGATATTTACAAAAGAATTCTGCACACAAAATGCCTTGAATATTAGAAAATGCGTGAAATTCGTGTTCAAGATTGCCCAACAGGCTCACTGACCGACAGAAATAACAGTGTGTGACAATGTGCCAGGGACTATTGCACTGTTTCGATAAGATGAAGGAGAACCTTTGTAGTCTATGAGTTGCTAGCTACGAGGAACTGCAACAGGCGATCCATGAATGGGTCCGTAGTACTTCTAAAAGAACTTTTTCGGCAAGCATCTAGAAACTTTTTGGGAAATGGGAGCATTGCATCCATTTGAGTGAGAATTACCTGAAATATTCATGTATGTGTTCCAACAAATAAATTATGTTCTGTTATAAGGTATTTTTCCCACCTTCTTGGCATGCCTTTTTCGTCTGGTGGTCTGCACGCTGGACGCGTATTCAAGAGGTCCGTGGTTCGATTCCCGGCGAAAGCGTTGCGTATTTTTCATCTTTCCTGCTTCCAAAATACCTAATGTATCTACACTGTAATTTTACTTGCCTTAGTTGAAATGATTACTGAACGACTCAGATATAATGCACAATATATAAGAATTATCGTTTTTGATATTAGAAATTAACTAAAAATAAAATGAATAAGTTTAAAATTTATGCAGAGTTACTTCTAGTATTGTGATTTTTGACACTACGTTTCATCTTCTTGGACTTCAGCTTGAGTTGTAAGGCAATACTTCTACCCGTAACAAATCATTACGGTATTGATCGATAATCCGTAGATGAGTATTTCGGATTTACAAACTTCAAAGCCAAAAATAATGATTTATATAAGCAAATGAAAGCAAAATATTTTATTTTAAATGCTGCATTTTCTAAGAACGTAAATTTGTTTTCATTAACTAACTTTTAAAAGTTTTCTTCAGTTACGCGTGTTTTCGTTACTGGTCGTTTTGGCGATTTTAGAATTTCTATCTGCATTCCTATAAAATTGAACTTAATGAGTTTCACAATAGATTTACTTATTTCTATTAAATTATCAAGATTATTATTGTTAACCTGGAATATAACTAAATTATTTCCAAAAACAAAGTATGCGCGTTGCCCGTTCATATGTTCGAGCTGGATCCACGGTAGTCGAGTTTCAGCAGTAGCACTGTAGTAGATTGCACTAAAAAGTTTCACAGAGTAAAAAGTACCATCATGTAATTGTTAAATTTTTTGCCTGAAAGTAAGTTAATTCATGTTAAAAATGTTAGCAACTTGAATTTCCCTTGCTTTACTACTGCATAGTATCATTTATTTACATTGTTTTCAAATAAAAATAATAAAAAGCATTTTGAATCGAAATATTGAGGCATATGTTATTGATTTATTATGCATCACACTTTTTTAATGTCTCTGGCCATATATCATAAATTATTAAACCTGTAACTGCCGTGGCATTTCCCAATAATTAGAATTTTGATTATTCATCTTGTAATCGATTATCATTAACAATGTTTCATGTAATTGATTTTGTTTCCTTTATTTTTCCAGGTACTTTTCCTTATGACTTCTCCGTTTTGGCAACTATTCGACCGAAACAAGGTATTGAAGCATTCCTCTTCACTATTTATAATAATATCGGGCAAGAAGAAATGGCCGTCGGTGTTGGTGAGAACGTCACTTTCATGTGTCGTCATTCAGCGGAATTTACTGCATTAGCGCAAGTTTCCTTTCCGGTTGCAGTGAACGATGGCAAGTACGTAAATTAAAAAAAACTATCTCTTGAATCCAACAAGAGTATTTATTGAAATCTACAAACTGTTGATCTTGCGTATAAGACGTAGGAAAAAAATTTAAGAAACCCGAAAACATATTAATATCTTTATGTCTCATTTTTACATTTGCTGTTCAATTTATAAAATACGACTATATGAAGAAGATTAAAATTCTGTATTAGGCTATTAATAATATTTTAAGTTAATATAATTATTATTAATAATATTTTAATTTATTAATAATTTATATCTGAATGATTTTTAACTTGGTATTATTAATATTCAAGTAGAGAGAAGTATTAAGAAATTAGAACTAAAATTTTAATTGTCAATTTGATTGAGGAAACAAAAATAAAAACAATCTAATTTGAAACCAAAATCAATAGCCATATTATTGATACGCACTATACCTAAATCAAGTTTAGTCAACTCCCAGTTTACCGGGGTAATGGGAATTGACTTCCACGGTTAACTCAAAATCACGTTTAATCCGAGCTAAGTTGAAAAGAAGCATAAAGAGGAGCATACTTTTATATAGGTTACAGAAAAGTACTGTTAAAAGTTCATCCATAATTTTCAAGCAGATTAATCTGGAGAATAAGTTAATTTGCTTATGTAAATTAAATTAACATTGAAAATAAAAAAGTAAATGATGGAAGAAAAATGTCATTCGATATGAATGAATTAAATTTTAAGTTGCATTAAAATCAGCACTTACAAGAGAACTTGAATAATGCCATTGAGCTAAAATTCACGTAAAAATTCGGTTTAAACTTTCTTTTCATTTTCTTTTTAGTCCAAAGGGGCAATTTGCCCAGATGGGCTATTAATTTCGCTTTGGCATTTTGTGTTGATTCACTATAGACGGCGAATCACTTTTTAAATTGTTGCCACCAAATATTAGAGCCCTGTATTATGCTTAAAGAAATTAAATAATGAAAAATCTGCATAAATGTATGTATGTTTCTCGCAGTGTGATAAACAAATGGTACTTAAAGCCATCAAATTTTGAATAACGTACGTCTCCACCCGAATATAGGCATCTGGAAGCCCAAATTTGGAGTAAGGAATTTATTTTATTATCTATTTCATATTTTGTAAACCATTTATGAGTTTTTGATTAAGAAACTCACCGATTTCAAAGTGAGCAATGGCAACACTGTACGAAAAAAAAAAAAAAATATCTGCAGCGAGCGAGACTGTGTATCGGAAATTCTAAAGGTATGCTCTTTTAAATATTTTGCGATATTTCTATTGAATTGAAGTTTATGGTTTAAGTGCGAAGAACATCATATTTAATAAATGAAGGTAATACACAAAACGTTAAAAACTACTCTTTGGGCGTAATATAAAATCTGAAAGCTTTCAGAATTCTTTTTCTTTCTTTTTCTATTTTTGCTATCCCACGCATTTCTACTCTCCTTTTCATATTTTTCAGTAGACAGTTTATGTCTTTGAATAGTGGTGTAGTACTATGAATGAAGGTGAACGCTACTATAGTTGTTAAGAACTGTGAATAGGGGTGTAGAACTATGAATAGTGATGTAGAACTGGCGGCCCGCGGGCTGTATGTGGTCAGTTTTTAAGCGATCCGCAAATATTATCTCGTAATTTAATTATCATTATTATGGCGTAAACTCTTACGGCAAAAATTTAAAGAAATGTTTAAGTCTGTAATGATTTTGAGTCCAGTTTTATATTATTTTCATTATTAGTAAAACAAACGGGAGTAATGCCTCAGAAACATCTACCAATTGAGCTAATTTCAATTAATTTACTCTGTGGTATAAATCTTAATCAAAGATATAAAGAAACAGATTTTATTTTTTTTCTCACTTGTTAAAAAGCTAATATTTACTGTTACGAATTTTTGCAGTAAGAATAATCGCTTTGTTGCAAATAAATATATAAGCGAAAATTTTTTACGCGGTTGAAAATTAAGTCTAAAATAGCAACCAGCTGACCGATGAGCGTTTATAATTCGTGATAAATATAGTTTCTAGTAATTGTTTCCTAAAATGATAAATTTTATCAAAATCGAAATATCATGAAATGTTGTAGGTCTGAAAATTGAAGTAATAAATAAGGAAGTTTTAATTTACTTATATACTAATATACATATAATTACGTCAAAGAAAATTTAATAAATAAAAAAGAAACTTGTTAATTTTCAGTTTAAGTTGAAAATAAATTATTTAGTAGTTAATTTAACATATATTAATTACTATTTGAATTAAATGTCAGTCTGAAAATTTAGTATTTAGCTATCAATAGATTTGTGTTACAGAGAGTAACCAATACAGATTTTACACATTCAGATTTCAGACAGGAAGAGACAATAGAGATTAGCCAACATTTAGATTTCAGACAGGAAGTACATATACAAATTGAATTTTTTCGTTACGTTATTATTGTTGCTGTTTTTAAGTAATCAGTAGATAAAATTAAAAATTTAGATTAACAAATTTTCTTTTTAAAAAAACTTTTCATTTTATTAAAAAAAAAAAAGAATTGGCGCATCAGCTGCTTTTATGGCCCATCTGCGTTTGAGACCACTGCCGTAGGCAGATGGTTTGTGGTAGTTTTCCCATTGTTGTGCATTAAACGATTTATAATTTTTTACTTCTTTGTATGACGCAAAGGAAGTACTGTAATAGCGAAAATTTTCTGATATTATATTTGGACGGAAATATCGATTTTGACCGTTCCCGAATCCATTTGGACGTTTCTTTTTGCGTGACGTCTGTACGTATGGACAGGATTAAGGTCTCTTTTTTTGCAAAATGGATTGTAAAATGGATTTAAAATATATTCAAAAGGGATTTTTTTTCATTACATCGGTACGTACGTATCAACATACACGATTGTTATTGACATAGTTTATAATTAATTTATGTAAACTTGAGTATTATAATTATTAGATGAATGCTAATGTAAGTGGGAAGTTTTCTCAGTATTAGAGTTTGTTGGATGGGCGTTAACTAACAGAAGGTTATGTTGTTGGATAAATATATTTTAGGTATCTTAAAATTTTGGATACATTACCATAATATTCCTGTCATGAACTATCAATCTATAGGGATATTAATTTTTTTCTTCTTATATTTTTAAAACAGGAGGTACAGAAAATTTACTATGTCCTTGACGGCATTCGAACCGCGAATCTTCCATTGTTAACTGGAAGCGCTAATACATCACGAGAGCCAATACGGGTAAAGTCATAGTTCCGTACATTTTTCCCCACTTAAAGGACGACTGGGAAGAAGCATGAGATTTACAAAATTTAAGTGGTGATGAATTTATTGTTCACCACATTTTAGTTTTAGTCCTAGTAGTTTCTTTTTGGAGAGGGGAAGCAGAAAACATGAAAAATCAGACATGCTCTGTTCGGGATTTAAAACATTTGTCTTCTAATGCCAGCTGGACAAGTTAATCAATTACGCCGTGATCTAAACTTATTAATTAGTAAGGCCGAATTATTGCACGAGAGTACGTATAAATGAAAGTACGAGAGTACATGTAATTCCTTATAAATCTAGCTAGTGTTCAGGTAAAATAAAGGAAAACAATAAATATTAATGCTCCATAAAAATATTTACTGTTTATTGCAATAATGGAGAGGTATTAGCTATTTGCAACAGCTAACTCAAATTTCTTTCATTGCAGATGGCACAGAATTGCTCTGAGTATCAAGGGAAATTCAGTCACATTGTTAAATGAATGCGGCCAACAACTAACAGAATCGCTCAATCGAACGGAAAGTTCCTTCATTGACGCTGCAGGGATTATGTTGCTCGGACAGCAGTTAGTTGACGGTGTGTATTACGAGGTAAAGCATCGGAAATTAATTACTAAGAACGATCTAGCGTAGATCTTTTATCTTTTTAACTGACAAAATCCTGTTTCAGATTAGCAACTGCTTTACGTTTACTTAATGCCCAACCTTATCTTTTAAGCTTATTCTTACATAGAATAATAATAATAATAAAAAAACACAGTTAAAACGAGAATCAAAATAAACAAAACTGATTAGTGGAATAATGTTTTTTATATGGAAAATTAAGTTTCAAAATTACACATTTATTATGGTTATTATTATACATACGAGATCTCCATCTTATCTGAATCATATCTGAATATCTATTTAATGACAAATAGAATGAAAATACCCGTGAACTGCTAACGTCACCCTGTATTTATATGTGCTATACTCGTGTGCATTCCAGCATTTTTGAGCATTTTGGTTGAAGAGTAACTACAGCATCACATCTGAATATCTATTTAACGACAAATAGAATGTTAAAATATTTTTGCAATGTACAGAGAAATTTTAAGAATGTTTTGAATAAATATATGAATCATAGACTTTATTTTTAAATATTAGACGAAAGTATAGATAAGTAATATTTGCATCTTATTCATAATGGTATCTAAGTTAATGACATGCCTGTAGCATGCTTATGTTTTGATATTTCAGTATTCTGTGTATACTCTCATATTTATACAAGTATCAAAATGCAGGTATTAATATATGTTTAATGCTATATATAAAAATCGGATTAAAGCTATTTTTTAAATGTCCTTCTATGACATTTCGAAATGTATATATTCACACGAATGTATTTTCTTATAGATATGTGTATAAAAATTAACTACACTTTAATATTTGTAATGCTTTTAACATTTATTACTCTTTACTATTATAGATGTTAAAATAAAGTACATATTTCTCTTAATTTCTTCAATCGTTGTTAGTTATTTAGTACTTCATAATGACTACCTTAGTTACCTTATTTACAGAAAAACTCCATACAACCGAACTAAGTGTGGCAAAAACATTTCGGATAAAACTTTCGGATAGCCAATGCCCAGACTTATTTTTACCATGAGGGGGGGGGAGCTCATTTTTATGCGCAGAAGTTTCGAAAATAATGTTAAAATTAATTTTAGATAAAGAGCTTTAAAGTCTCTGTTTTAAAATTATTTTCATTTAAATCACGGAGCTTTAAAGCAAAAACGTTTTAGAGTTTTTTTAATTATGATTATCATTTTCAAGCCTTTAACCAATTTTCTGGAAACAAAGTTCAAGAAATACGTAATGAATATTAAACATATTGAAGTTAAAAATGCATCATTATTTACAAAAGAAGAGCAACTTATTAAAACACATGAAATAAGAAATTGTCTCATACTGATTCTAAATGTGTAGATTTCCAATTTTAGAAATTGTCTTCTGAAATTTTGCCAACTTCAGTGAGAGTTTAATGAAACTTTATATGTACAAAGGCAAAAATTTACTTAAAACATATTGAAAATCTTTTTATAATTTTCTGAAAATTTTCATCTTTCTGTTTCTGGCAATTTATTTGCTTTAAAAATTATTCGACACCATTTATAGCTAAGAAAATGAAAGTTATCCTCTTATCGGAAGTTTCATAGGTTATCATATTTGTTTCTGATCATTTGAGGTTTCTTACATTTATCTCATTCTTTGTGCCTGTTATAACATGTATTTACCTTTAAATTAGTGTTTCTCAGATTTTAGTACATATATTACTAATGGTAAATTATGATTATCATTTCGTATTATAGGATTATTTTTAGTGGTACAATTTTTACAAAAAGACATAAATGAATATTCTAAATGAGTGCAGTGCAAATGGCGCTCCTTTGGTACATACATGGATTGTACATACGTTCATTATTCTTATTTATGTGGTGCAAAGTTTAAAAAGTTTGAACCCTTGCTTTAAAGAATGAAGTATGAAAAGGCATTGATTAAAAATGACTAATTTTCAAATTTTATGTATAAATTTTAGTTTTCTTCATATAGTGAATGAACGGGGTTTTATTTATATTTTATAATTATTATTCCTTGGTATTTCAGTACTTGTCTGGCGAATGTTTTCTCGTTCAGATAGACCGAGGATAATACACTGAATTTATATTCCTTTAACTACGAAACTTATAATATCTTTCAAGAACTTATATCTTTATCTACTTTCAGTTTTTGTTTCATATCTTTTTGATACTTTAGGGTGATATTCAACAACTGCAAATAGTACCTACTCCAGAAGCTGCATATGAACAGTGCATAGACTACGTTCCTGACTGTGACTCTCCACTTCCTTATGCTACTGGGCCAGAGGATACAGTATTTCCCGTTTTCCCAAATCCCGGATTACCTGACTTGCCGCTTTCAGGTGAAGATGATGATGATGATGAATTTCCTGACTATACGTATCCTGAACAAACTCCTGGAATCTTTACAAACTATACATTCACGTATACCCCTCCCGTATGTTATCTTGCTTTATTTATGCTTTATTCAAATGTTTTAGGCGTCTCTTGTCTATAATGTTCTCCTACCCTATTAATCAATCCCTAGGATATCTTGAGAGAAGATTGCAAGTGCTTATGACAAAGCTCTACGGTGTTAAACTTTATGATATAAAACTTTACTTTTTTATTATTTAATTTTTTTTTTTGAAATTTGTTACATTAAGTTTAATGCAGCTCAATATTAAAACCTGCAGTATTTGCCGTTTAAAAATTAAATTATAGTAGTTCCTTGCTGGAACTTTTCATTTACCAAATGTGCTTAATAACACACTGTAGATGTGATTATTGCATTCATGGTTGAAATTTCTTCTTTAAGTATTTAGGATAATGCATAATCAATTTGCATCACTTTTACGTTTATATAATAGAATTACATAACGTCAATGCTTAAATTTTCTTCAGTCCTTTCAAGAAAAGCATTTCACTCTTGAACGTTTATGATAAATTTCGGTATTAAAAAATCAAAATGTTCAGGCAAAAATAATATATTTTCGTGCGATATCCATATAAAATGACTACATGAAGCATTTTCTTGAAACGTGCCGTTTCGATAAAATCCGAAGTATCATTTTAGGTATATTTTAAAATAAAGTTTGGTAATTCTAAAATATAAATTTGGATTTCATATTGACTTAAAGTATATTTTATTAATGAAACTATAAGGATTATGTTAATTTTATTAACAGTTAAATTTTCAGTTAAACTTCCTTTCCTATCGATTCTTAATTTCAGCTTAGCACTTCCGGCCAGAACTTAGTTTTAAAATCACGTCTGAATGCTAATGAGGAAGAGCGGTATTTAACCGCGAAGTTCTACTGTCTTAGAGAGATACCAGATATTCTGGCTCCACGCGTCCGCATTTTTAGGCTTCTCTCTCGTAAGCTATTTTTGCGCTCGGCCGTACTTTAGGCCTTTGATAGCTTCGCAGTCAATTAGCGTTAAGGAGCCAACTCTGTTAGAATTTTGATAGCTTCGACTATATCTCTTTAGTTAAAATTAGTTTAGTTTAATTATTAGTTTAAGTTCAAGTCCCAGTGTCGGCTTTATTGTACAGTGTCGGCAGCGTTCATAGCGTAATTTGGCTTGCGTAGTACAATGACGTACTGCATGAATGCGCGCCAGCTCGTGCCGCATTTGTGTACTAATGAGCTGCCATTTCGAGTGTGACAGTGATATGGACCGGTGGAGTGCACAGCATCGTGCCTTTATTTGTTGAAAGTTATTTCAAGAATAACTACTCTGTTATTGCTACCCAGCGTCTATTTCGGCAAAATTTCAACTTGGGACGTTATGGAAAAGTTTTAGATGGATGGACCATTGCGACAGACATTTCCAGGTAGAGTAATTTCCCGTTTTGGTGACATTTCCTTGCCGCCTCGCTCACCTGATCTTTCATGTGCAGACTTTTTCCTTTGGGGGCCACCTGAAGCAAGAAGTTTTCCGAACACGTTGTGCCACCATTCCTGAGTTGAAGGATCGCACCAGAACTGCTGTCGGCAATGTCCCAGGGAATACGTTACGCCGAGTTATGGCAAGCTTTCAACACCGCCTAGATAAATGTGTTGTGCAGAGGGAACATCATTTGACAGGCATCATGTTCAAAATGTAATCCAACGCAATGGACAATGACTTACACATTAGTAAATGGCATACCTTTAACTATTAATTGACATAAGAGGTAATAAATAAATTACAGTTACTGCCTTATGGTGTATTTTTAATATCCTACTATGAAACGCTGCCGCACCCTGTACAACTCCAAGACAGAGTTTTGTTACACTTGATTGGAATAATAAAGGGTTATTTTACACTTCTATATTGTTGTTTCCTGTCACACGAACTCAAAGGATTATTCGCTTACTAGTTCTTAAGATCCTTCACTTTCAACTGTAACTTAGAATTACACAGTGGAGAATCTTACAAAACCTATGAAGCTAATTTTTGGTATGCTTTACAAATGCAATTGCCGTTTTATCGTATGACAAAATGCTCAGATTTTAATAGCTGAAACGACAAAAGTGATAGCTGTCATTAACAACCAAGAAGCTGTCGATAATCAGATTTATTCTATGTAAACAGTTTGAATTATTACATTTGCAGTTGCATTTTTGTATTAATAGTAAAAAAAAAAGATTACGTTTGAAATTATTTAAAACAATATAAAAATATAATAAATATTTAGAATATTTTATAAATATTTAAAATCCGAGTATGCAAAATTCAATTATTCAATTCAGTGTTAAAATCAAGTAGCTTTGGAATGTTATTATGGTTAATTCTCTTTAATCTATTGGCTTATTTATTTATATATTTCAATGTTTACCTGAAAAATAATATTATTTTCTAAGAGAATATTAATGTGTAAATCTTCTTCACCATGTTCTATAAAATAATATGTAAGTAATTTCGAAATATCGCTGAAGACCACCAATCTAATGATATTACTGAATTAGCCTCATTTCGTATTTAATAATTAAAAATTTGGTTACTTTTCTTGTAAACGTACTGAAAGTCTTTCAGTGAAATTTGACACCTGATTTCTAATCGATATCAGAAAATTAGAATATTTATCGGAATTTTGTGATTTAAAAATTTTTTAAGATCCATACAGTTAATATGTTAGCATAGAATGTTATTGAAAAAATTAATAAATTTATTATAATCATTTTACTTTAAATCCTTCACACTGACAATGAAAACACTTTTATTCTGTTGGCATAATGGTAAGGCAGACGGCTGTCATAAACGTGGGTCAGGGTTGAATTCGGAGAGCAGCCTGTTTGGGGCGCTAAACCCAGGGTTTATAGGCTTGGTAATCCGACCTCTTGCCACTCATGGCGTTTGATGTCAGTTAGTATGTAATGTTTTTAGCAGAGTGCTAAAAATTTTTGTCATGTGAATTGATTATAATTTCTTTGTTTCGCCATCCAAGCTTTGATAGGAATTCTCCGAAAAAAACTAGAATTTAATTCCTATCTTTATTATTAGAACAAAATTCCAGAAATAATTTAGTATATACGAGTCAGTTCCCCTTAGAAAGCCCTCCACGAAGGCATCCCTCCCCTTAGGCAGATAGCCCTAGTGTTCTTTGCCATAATTAAACAAACCAAACCAAACCAGAAATAATTTGTTGGTAAGAGTAGTATTAGAAATGTTTTTTGTAATGGCATGATCAGTTTATGCTTTGCCTTTACTGATACAGAAATTTCTTATTGGCTATGAAATTACGAAAAACATAGCATATGCAAGATAATTATGGCTATAAACCTTTAACGTTAGAGGCTTAAGAAATTTTTTAGTAATTAATTAATATAAGTAGAAGAGAAACACACATGCACACAATTTAAAATTAGTTAACAAAGCAGCCTAAGAATAGTGTAGATTTTGATAGAGAGTTTTACTCTAAGGATTTCAAAAGTAATCAAACATAGATCTTTTTTATTCAGGCGCAAATATGTTCTGTAAAAGGAGGAAGGAAAATGTTAAAAAAATGTTTTGCTCCTGAAGAAGAGAAATTTATGTTTGTCGCCCTTGATATGGACAATTTTATTCAAAACCTATGCCAATTTAAAGCTGCTGGTTTTTTTTTTTTTTTTTTTTTTCTGAATTTGAAACTAACTTATGTTAGTAAATTAACAATGTAATTTAATAGATCAGATCTAAGTATAATACACATCTGTATACATGATTTTTATTTTTATAGGTTGAGAGTAATCCCGTGGATGAAAACACTGGATATCATTATTACAACGTTCAGGTGAGGAAATGTTATTCAGAAAATCAGAATTCGATTTTAAGAATTTACATTATTAACATATATGAAAAGTAATGAATTATAATTTCGTTTCAAATAATATGAAATGTGAAATAAAAATACATCTAAAGCAGCAGTTACTGGATATTTAATAGTTGCTTATAGAAAGTAATATAAGAGAAAAGTCTTTGATCTGAAATTAGATTTTTTTCCTTGATAAGTCTTTTAATACGCATTTTCTAACATAATAATATTTAATTCTCTTTAAATTAATTATTTGTTCTTCATAATTCTTATTGAAAAGAGAAATTACACTCGAAAATCCGATACAAAAAAGTAAACTAGAATAATTAATGAATGGGATTTATTTACGTTTTTAAGAGGAACAACTGATGATCTCTGTTTTCTTTCGCTGAACGTTAATTCGAAAAATACTGCGGAGTAATAGAGCAAAGCCATTTTATTAAAAACAGTTTTGCATACAAATATGACAGCTTTTAATATAATTTTTCTTCAGCTATTTGCTGTTGTTTTCGTAATAGATATTACCCCATAATAAGAATGTAAAGAAGAGTTAATGTATTAGCTACTATTTTGATTGCGAAATGCTATGTAAGAATTTTATTTAAATAAAATGTATGTTTATACAGTAAACAAATTTTTTCTCCCAATGAATTTGGAATATTCAATGCTTATATATTTAATTTTTCTTCCAAGTAGGGTTTACCTGGCCCTCGAGGTTATCAAGGACCGCCTGGTCCTCCAGGAGTCAAAGGCGAGAAGGTAAAATTATTATTCAGAATTTTATAAAAATACTTTAAATCTTTCTGATACCAAAAAAGAATAAAGTTTTAAGTTTTTAGCATAAAATGCTGTTTATAAAATAAAGGTTTTATTGTCCGAAACCACATTAATATAAGAATATGTAGTCTGGAAGACAGCAATGCCAATAAAGCAATTCACTTTTCGAAAAAAATATGAAACTGTATTTTTGTAAAAATATCCGTTTTACAATTCCCATTTTTTATCCATAATTATTGTCTATAAGATATCTAAACTAGTGGTCAGAAGTTATGCGAAATCGTTTTGTTTTTATAGAAATTACGACATCTTTTTTAATTGTTATAGAAAATTCCGTGGAATAAAATGTAAATTTCCTTAAATGCCGCAGGAATGATCATTTTAGTAGGTAAAATCATTTTTTGTTCCAGTGGAAATCTTAAATACTCACAAAAAGATTACATGGAAAAATGTTTGGTATATTGTTTGTATTGGTATATTGGTAAATGTTTGGTATCTTCTTCAGAACTTTTCCACAATAACATCACGAGCTCTTTCATAAGTGGAATTAGTTAATTTCCTAAGTAATTCAGCAATATTTCATGTTGACGTGGTGTTTACCTTTTAGTTCGGCTGTAGTTCCTACACAAAACATTATAATTCAGCACGATTTCATGCTGGCGTTTCAGCGTTTTTCAGTTCCTTTTAATTTTTACGTAATGTTTTCTGCATCTTTTGCCAGTACCAACCCGAAGGTTTTATAAATTCATGTCTGGGGAGTAACAGAATCCATATCTTGAAGGTAAAATTTACATAACTAGCGGTAGAAATGTTGTTTTGGGCAGTGAGCGCCAAATATTGATTATGATGCTCACCTAGCGATCCTTTTCATGGTTCTGCGAATGCTCTGAATAACACATTCGTAAAGTTTATTTTAATTAATACGTTATTAAGTGGCATATAATAAAATATATGAGTTTGAATAACGAAAGATAATCAAAAGTCTGAGAGAAAGAAATTTAGCAGCTTCACTCTGCCATGCTGAGACTCTTTTTAATGCTGCCTACTTTTAGCGTTATGCTATGAAATGATGAATTTGTCCATAATTCAAATTAAGCTAAAAATCGCGGAATAGTGATGCCAGGTTATTAAGCCTCAAATATGAACTTTAAATGATAGACGATTTTTATTTTTTCTGTCCGTTCATTCAGCTCTCAATAACAGAAAGCTAATTTTGTTAGCGTCTTAGTTTTTATAACTTCAAACAGAAGTGCAAATAAATATTTTAATTGTTTTCACATTGTTTTAATTATATCTAAGATTATTTATTATATTTAACAGAAGATTTTTATTATATCTAACATCTGTATTCTAAGATTTATAGCTATATGGCATATGAATCGCATGCGCTATGATGACGCATCGGCTTCCTGTTCATTATGTCTTTCGAGCATACAGCCCTTTGTAGAGCCACAGTTTAGCGGGATATGTTTTTCTATGCATCAAGAAATGCAACATACAAGTTCGTTGATCATGTAGAATCCATTCCACTTAGTTATTAACGATAAATTTCAGTCTTCCTGTACAATCACAGAAGATACGCGACCTCATGCAGTGCATTTGTAACGCATTACAGTCGTTTGGATCGTTACTAAAGTCTGGATACAACATTTTGTGCTATTCCGAATTCCATTGCAAATTTGATAATTATGATGGCATTTTTTCAATTTTCCTGTAATTTTTTCGCTTAAAAATCATGAATTAATACGACATTAATCTCTGAGGCATTACAAAAATTTCACGTTCATAGATTTACAATTTCTTCTTTAGAATTTCTGAAAAATACAGCTCGTGATAGGACTAATTTCTTTTGCAGGTGTTTCCAAGTTACTTGTAATTTCTAAACGTAACAATCAGAAATATGCATAGCCACCAAATTTCCTACTACGCATATTTTAATTATAAAAAGCAATAAATAAATAATATAAAAAGCAACGGATTTTTACCAGGACGAATATTCATAATGGTGTTCGTTTTAAGTTTCGAGAACGAGTATAGCTAGTTTACGTTTTATCATTTACTGCGCATTTTCACATTTGTTTAGGAAAAGATATGAAATATATGAATATACAATACTTTGGGGCACAGAAATAGCTTACACTGTATTTCGAAAATTCATTTAGAATAAAACTTTAGAGAAATACTTATAATATGGGTTCTTGAGAAAAGTCCTTAATTATTGTTCTTTATTAGTAATTAACTTTTATTTTATTTTTTTTCATGAAAATGTCAAGTAATATAATATTTATATTTTAAAAGTAATATTAATAATTAATATTTATATTTTTATATTTTATTTACAATTAAGGATATTGTTATTCTGAAATTCTGTGTGTTGTAGGCGGGCCTTTTCGAAAGCTAAAAGGTATTTTATTGCATATATTCCAATTCTGCGAAACATTTAAAAATTTATTGCAAAGGAACTGCATAGCCGATGCCAAATTTTACTGTACTAAAATACAGGTAAGCTTTCCAATTTTTTTTACGTTTATAAAATATGACCAGTACATCTGTTTATCTTTGCTAATAAAGTGGACACGTATGCGATAAACCATTCTATTCCGCACTCGTGCTGGCATATCGTGATAGATAAGAGTAACAACCTTCAACATACGACTGTGGGAGCAGCGGAGAATGGAGGCACGAAGGCAGTATCTTTTACAAATTCCTACACTAGAAAATCACATACGACTGAATTCGGAAACTGGTGTGGCCATCGTTTTAACATGTAATCTAGTCGTCTTCTGCTGCCTATTCATCTTACTAATAACTTTTGATTGAGATACTCTCCCAAATAGTCTCGATAACGGTCACGGTGGTAGTGAGCCAGATAACTGTCTTGGTGAAAGAGGTAATCATTGCTGTCTTCATTCAGCTTTATACAACGTTTCCGCAACGCTTCGAAATACACAAAAGTATATTGAATGTTATTTTTTAATAGCTGCAATCGAAGTACTAATTTTTTATTTTATAAAATTACAATAAAATTAAAGATTGCATATAATAAAATATTTAAAGAAATTTGAAATCTAAATATTTTTAAACGACTAAATTGTATCTATTTAGTCGTTTAAAAATATCCATATTTACAATCAGCTTTGTTTTTCAGGGAGACCAGGGTCGTGATGGATTAAATGGATTAGATGGTGCTGTCGGCCCCCCTGGTCACATATTTATGATTCCAGTAAGATGAAGCATTTAATTTAATTAGAAAGATCAATTAATGTATTTATCTGATGTTTGCTTTTTCCAGAATATGCGAATTGTGCTGTTTAAGTGTTATTTAGTAGCATACTTTTACGATTATTTCTATACTTATTCTTTGAAATAATTTATGGTGTTAATTTAATTCTAAATGATTATTTACTGTAATATTTGCTATAAGTATAATTAATTAACAGTAGCTCCTTTTATTTTACGTATATTATTATTGCTCTTTTTTAGCTTTCACGTTTTCATATTTTGATAAGATATCGTACGCTTTTATAAATTAATTAACAACATTTAATTTTATTTAACATGCATTATTATTGTTATTTTTTAACTTTTACATTTTCCTATTTTGATAAGATGTATTACGCTTTCATAAATTAATTAACAGCATTTCATTTTATTTTATGAACATTTTTATTGTTCTTTTTTACCTTTTCTTATTTTGATAAGATATCTTACGCTATCATAGTCTTAAACTTATTTTTTATTTCTGCACTGACTTTCGAACATTGGTATCTGGTATTAAACGCCCAAGCGGATTATCTATAATTTATTTTATCATAATGGGAAATTTTTATTATAATGAGCAGTTATTAGCAATACAGAGTTCAGAGTTGAAAACTAGAAAATACCATAAATTTAGTGTTCTCAGTTCTTGTTGAAAATTCTGTAAACTTAAATACCAGTTTAAAGAACATATTTAAATGAAATGGCCAAAGAGGATCGCAAAGATAACAGCAAACCTTACAACTGTATAAAGAAAGGAAGCGGAAAATATTACCATAAATGCGAAGAAGCTTAAAAGTAAAGCAAGAAACAATTTTGATAATTGTTAGATAGTTTCAGCTGCATTTAGGATTTAACTTTCAAGTTTAAGAAACTGCTAATCTCGACTGAAACTGATCACGCGAAATAATTATTACAATTTACAGCAGTTTTTAGATTTTGAAATAAGAAAAAATGATTTAGAATCAAAATTATATTGGTGTATAAGAAATCTTCTACATATGAAGCTTTTTTAATAATTTGACAAGTTTTCTTATAACAAAAAAGAAGCGTAAGCTAAAGCTTTGACATGCCTAAAGAGAGCAGAATCTCAATTGCATTAGTGAATGGATAATAATGAATTATAAAACTCAATTAAAGACCTACACCTTAAAGACCACACCTACATTAAAGACCTTAATTGAGCAATGGCTATCAATAAAAATGCAGAAAGATAACCTTTCAAAAATTAGGAAACCTCCGATGGTGTAATCTGAAATGCTTTAGAAGTGATGTATTTCAATAAACGCGATGTTGATTTGTAGTGTAGTAACACTGTAAGCTTTTAATGTAGTAAGCGGAAGTAATGTAATAATCTTTTCTAAAGATATAAAAGAGGAATACGATAAAAGTGCAACCAGCGCTATATTTCAGATAAATGACGAGCAATTTCATAAATTTATGCTAATTTTCAAGAATTAAAAAAAAAATAAAAAATAAAAAACCATATTCGTGAAAAACTGGGCATTTCAAACAGCTATTTTTCATGAAAGAAGTCGGAGACTCTTGGAAAAGGTGTAGAATGAAACGCCAATATGTGTTACACATCAACGTTCAACTTCTGATTTTGAATTCGACAATACAGAACTACGTTCGCTTGGATATTACATGATTAGTCGTTAGGAGTATAAATTTTTTACCGCTGTCAGCAATGCAGTAAGTGATGAAACTAGTGATTTTGAATACAGTGATTTCTTACTTAGGAATCAACTATTGATCTTCTTGACAATGATACAATACTTCTTTTACGGAATAGAGCAGTTAAATTGTACTGATTATATACAGTCTGTCAACTAACGACTTGAACTATTATAGTGTTGAATTAAAGTAGCAGGTTTAAATAGTTCTAATTTATTTATTTAATGCTTTATTGCTAATATCAATAACCTATTCGAGATGTAAGAATAATGCATTGGGACCTAGAATTTTATTTCTTAATGCTGTTTAATTTCATGAGACATATTATTTAGTTTTCATTTTAAATTCGATATTAAATGCTGTTTAATTTGCCTATTTCGTCCAGAAATGCTTTTGAACTGTATCGCTGTTATTGCTGGCTTATTTTGTTTTAAATGAATTATCCGTTATTCATTACACGCGTAATTTAGATATTTTATTCGCCATATATTGCCATAGTCTTAAATCACACTTATTCAGCTATTTCTATGGTAAATTTGTATTATCACTTAAAACATTTTACCCATTTGGTTAATGTTACATATTTTTAGTTATTTCTTTTATTTCAAATCCTTTGAATGCAGTTGTAGTTAATTGTGCTACTTATGTTCTAATCCCACTAACATCTGCAATGAAAGACTGCATTTTCGATTTTTTAATTCACATATTGATATTGTTGTGCGTTTTTTTAGTATCAGCCTCAAGGAGACAATAAAGGACCAGATAATACCGAACCATTAAGGCAAATGTTGAGCCAGCACATGGTAATATATTTTAAGTATTATTTGATATAATTTTCTTGCTTGATTTACGATAGTGTTGCGAATTTTGTAAATATGTAAATCATTTTAGTAAAATAATATGTGAAATTGTAGTATCTCATGCATAATGTAACATGAAATGCCTCAAAAATGTGAAGCTGTCTCGGAAAAATAAGGTTACAAGGCAATTCCATTTAACATTGAGGTAAATGGGCATCTCAACAAATTGAAGATTGCTTTGGTGAAGGTTTTTGTCACCAAATTTGGTGAGAAATTTTCCTAAGTTGCCAAACTTAGCGAGTATTTGGCGACATTTGGGTTTGATCCCTATATAACTGTAATCAGTCTGATCCTATATCTAACTGCAACTGTATATGCCTTCCAACAATTTCCAGAAATCGAAGGTACTAGAAATTTCTCATTGGGCCGACGGAAAACTATATAAGACCGAGAGAGCATCAGTTCTCGGTTTAGTTCAGCTCAGACTATTAAGAGATCTCAGTGCGAGTTTCGCTCGTTAGATGCGCTTTGCATTCCGTTGTGTTTAACGTTCTCAGTAGTCTGAAGTAGTAACTGCTGATAATGCTTCGTCATATTAAGAAGAGCTGTACGAACACGTTTGTTAAAAATTCTAGAACTTTAAAGTGTTTCTTTTGCGAAAAGGAATTTTGTAAAGTTGTCATTGGTTATGTGTGCATTCAGTCCATTACGGAACTGTACCCTCGAAGCAATAGGGTTTTAAGGGAACTTTCATGGTTGATGGGAACCTAATAAAAATTAATAAATTAAAATTAAAGTGGAATGTATATCGTTACACAAGGCTGGAGTTACTTATTCTGAAAATGACCTCAAATCTGAATTAAAAATTCAGTAGTAAACTGTAAATTGATTGTAATGACAACTGTAATATGAAGATTGAAAATATGTGAAAATCTAGTTACTGAAAATTTGAAACAAGTAAGAATGTAGATATAAATTAAACTCTACAATTAATCAAAAATTCACTGAAGATTTAAAGATAATTAGAATTCTGCTTAATGTTAAGAAATTCTTGTTTGAAGAGCCCAGTTTTTGTTAGTTTTTTGTTTTGTTATTCCTTACACGAAATAGTATATTTAATATAGTTATGAAAAAGAAAATTAAAGTATAGAAAACATGATCCTGTTTTATGATGAAATTATAATTAGTTAACATGAATATTATTTCATTTTTTGATAAACCCTAAATACAGTATTCCTCGCACAGTCCGGGGAATTAGTTCCACTTATATACCAGACTGTTTAAAACTGGACTAATCGAAAAACTAAATACATATAAAAATTATGACTGGTTTGAATTTTTTTTTTCTGAACGCATTCAGTATCCGAAATTTCTGTCCTATTTTCATAAAACGTGATTAATAAATCTGTATGTCTTTATTAGAAATAATTTTTGAGAATGCATGTTTTTCGCAATTCACATTTTTGTTTTCTAAGAACCCAGTTCCGATGACTACACTCTGTTTGGTCTTTTCGTATCGTATATTTCTTCGTAGCAATGAACTGCATTGTTTGTCATTTGATGAACTGTAAGATTTACGTTCAATGTTGACATCATCTTCCATAATACGCTGTGACAAATTCTCACCACTCCGATAACTTTTGAGAGTTGTTTATCTTTTACTTCTCGTATTGGTACTTAAATTCTGTCGTCATTGTTTTATTTGCCTTCCCGTTGTTCCTCTATGTTAGTAAGTGTTTTATTATTTGGTACACAGTTTCCCAAACTTGTAGCTGACGGAGCCCTTTTCAGTCAACTCTTCTTGTAGATCCGTTATAATAGATATAGATCGGTAAGTAACTGATGTTTGAAAATAGTAACAGTACAGTAGGAAATGTACAGTAGGAAAGAGGTATTAAAAGAGCAGGTAACATTGCAGAGGTATAGATAGTAAGGAAATGTAAAGTAAGGAGATATCTAAACAGTCCCTGCAGTATTCATGAAATGAAATTATATTTTAAAGTTTTAAATTTCCCATAATATATCAATTTATTCTCAATTTGGTATTTTTAGTCATGCATAAAATATTCTTCCAAAGTTCCATAACGCAAACCAGTTTTTGTTACAACAGGTATTTTACATTATTCCTAAAGGCAGCATTAAGGTCATTGCAGCAAATTAGGTTCCTGAAGATTAATTATTACACTAAATTCAAGTTCATATTCGCTCATTACTTATTATTTAAAGTTTTTAATACGCTTTATATAGGACAACTGCAATCCAGTTTTACTGTCATGCAATTATAGTGGTTCTGTAGCCTAAATTAACTGATGACTGATAAAAAAAGGTAAAAATTTTTAATGAGGCACTTTTGATTGCATTTTTGTGCAACGTTCCCATACTTTACTTCAACTGTTGAATACCTTATTCAACAGTTATAATTTACGCGAATTCTGCATATTGGTTTCATACCTGCACAGGCGAAGAATATAGCTTTATAAGGATATGTAATTGAGAAAGACAGCAATTCTAATTTTGCTTTCTCATACAAGATTTTGAATCTATCTTGTATGCAGCCCAAACTCCGGTAGACACTAGTTTTGAAACACGATTTTTAATCCGCTGTCAGATGTCAAATCTGTAAGGATTTCCTATTACGTTGAGTTTAGGATGATAAGTTTTTGTTCAAAATGAATACATTCAGTATTCATTGAGTCACTGTAGCATCTTGTCTTGAGCTGTTGGAAAATAAAATTCAAACGAGTATTCCAAAGTTTCGAAGTACATCTTTCCGAAATGTGTTTTCTCTTGAATCTCGATGCTACTTTATTACAAGAAAGTTTCTGTAAGAGGAATACAGTCATTTTCTTTCCTTCCCATATATTCAGATCAATGCATAAATTTCTCTTAAGAGAACGTATTTTGGCCATTTGCATCAAAAGGTGTGGCATATTCTCCTAAAAATGATAAATTACCTTTCAATTTGTTCATTTTGTTAAACGTTTCAGCCAATGGGCCATTTTATACAGCCAGTCTTCATCATTTGAAACCGTCGCCAACGTGGACGGTTTATATATTTGATGAAATTGCATGCTACTCCTTGTGCATGCAATTTCATCAAATATTTCCTTGAGACAATCACACGATGTAGCAGGAGGATCTCATGGTGGCTTCAGGTATTCTTCGCATACTAATATGTAGAATCCGCTTTTAAAGAGTTCGGTATTTTTAGAATTTCTTATTTTTATTATTACCTTATTATAAATGAACCTTAGCTAATTGCCCCGAAAAAAAAACATGTATAAGAATTAGTTAGATATCATAGTATTATCACTGTAAACATTCATGGTGAAGTGATTCCAAAACGATTAGGTATTTGTATTTATATGGGGCTAAGTTTCGAGCAGATTTCAGGAATGCTCGAAAGATCGAGAATGAGAAAGTGGCGTAGACTTTTGGAACGCGATTTTAATTCTTTGTGAGATGTCAAATCTGCAATGACCTCGCATTCAGTTAAATTGGATAAACTTTTTATTTAGATTGAACAGATTCAGTATATATTTGCAGGATAATGAAGTTCAAGCGAATCTTTCATGGCTTCGAGATGCGCCTGAACAATTTTTTATATTATTGTCTTGTATCTTGATGTTATTTTCTTCTAAGGAGGTATGAGAGATGCAATCATAACCGTAATTTTCTGTAGCCATCAATCAATGCATAAATTTCCTCCTAAAAGAAGACACTGGCCTTTTCATCAAAAACAAAGGCACATTTCCCTAGTGATGATAAATTCCATTCAATTTGTTCCTTTTGCTAAGAACGTTCAGAGCGTATACCATTTTACAAGCACAATTTTCATCATGGTAAACTGTCGTCAATACAGGGTTTTTACTGGATCATTAAAAATGCTACAAACTGTGCAGTTTCATCAAATATGTCAGTGTTTTGTTTTTTTTCCCAAGATAAATACCAATTCAGGACTCATTTCCGTTTGATTTTAAGAGGTCTCAACTTTATATAGTTTATTAGCTTTATTATTGCCTTTATTAGTAAACACATAGTAGCTGCACAACTAAATCTCACAAAGAAATTGAACAAAGGAAAAACTCATGGAAGACTCGCTTAGATATCACAATATTATCAGTATGAACATTCACTGCGAAGTGACTGCAAATTGACTAGCCATCCATGTTTATACGGAGCTAAGTTTATAAGCCTTCTTAGCATGCCTTCGTGGTGTAGTGGTTCTGCACGCTGGGCCGGTATTCCAGAGGTCCGCGGTTCGGTTCCCGGCGAAGGCGTTGTTAATTTTTCATCTTTCCTGCTTCCAAAATACCTAATGTCTCTACAAGTTTTAAGAAGCTTTGAACGGATTCCAGGAATTCTCGAAGGATAGAGAATAAACGAGAAGCTTCTCCGAATGTGCAGCTTCCAAGAAGTGACTAAGTCACTGGCGGCGATATAGGTCCCGCGAGGCCTGTGATACGGGGAGCCCCGGGACTTGAAAGACCCCTGACAGAGCACTGAAAATTCAGATTTTTTGCAGATAAAGTAAAAATATTTATATAAGCAACTGTATAAATCATAATATTGTCTAAACTTTAAGATTCTTTTCATGAGTTTAAACTTGTCAGCTTTAAAATTTATTGTTGGCGGAGCTTTTTAGTTTATAACTATAATACATTAAACCATAATAAATTATGCCCGCTTACTATTCCTAAGTATGTTTTTGTTTTGTTTGATAATTCGTAAGTATAAAGTTCAAGTGTTATTTTGCTTTTAAGTTCTTTTTCCATGTGCGGATTCTATTTACGGCTTTGTATCCGCGCCGAAATAAGTCTTATAAGACAGGCTTGTCCAAGAGACTTTGGGCCTTGGAAATGCATTTCAGTGGGCCGCATGGTGTATAAATTTAAATATAAATATTTTGAGATGGAAATTTAAAATAGACTACATTATTGTTATAGTTTTTGTTATTATTCTTAAATTAATAATAGAACAATTAAACATTTATGGCTATACATAAATAATTATAATAATAATCAATATAACAATCGAATAAAATTTTATTTACTATAATCAGTGCGATATTTGTTTTTCCTTTCTTTTACTTAGTTTTTTCAAGTCTGTCCTAATACTTCCATTTGCACATCGTTATTGATGTTGCAGGGTTTCTTCAATTAAGGATGCTTGTGATTTATATTTCGTGCATTTTATTATAAAAAAAATCTGATGTGTACACCACATGACTTCCTTGTACGGAATATTAAATTATACGCATTTTTCTTGCATTTTATTTAAACTTATTAGATTGAATTAAACCTACTTCGCCGACAGCGCATAAACCACAATAGAATAAATGCATTCTTTAAAATTCACTTTGTTTACCATAGCGCTAGTTTACCATAGCGCTAGTTTACCATAGCGCTTTGTTTTCCATAGCGCTTTGTTTACCATAGCTTACTTTGTTACTCTGGCGTTAGGTTTACTTAACAGTATTATATTTCATTCATATTATAACTCAGAATGCACAAAATGTATATCATTTAAAGAATTATCTAATCGTTGCCACATGTTCTATTCAAATACTATAATAAAGCTAGAACTATGTATAAAAGAAATTAAGCAAACAAAACAAAACAGAAACAGTTTTTCACAGACGATTGAGTATTTCTCATTTAATTAATTCAGTTCTCACTTCGCGAGAAGGCAAAAATACATAAAAACTCAAAATATCTATATTAAAAATTACGAAGTAAATCTTCAAACGCTTATTTCCTCGAAAAAATTCCAGAAAGAATTAAGCATGATTTAATTGGCAATAATAAATGAATGCGTTATCTTTGTTGTTGCGAAGCTAAGTTTCTCTAGATTGGCAACAAATCCACTAGTCTCCTGTTTCAAATGTAAACATCAATGGCCGCCATTAAAAAAGGCTTAGCGGCAATTAAACAACTTTAAAATTGCTGATAATTCTAAAATATTGCACACAGATTTACTAAAGGCATAAAACCGGAAGATAAAAACAACATAATTCAATCATTTTTAAAGCAAAAAATGTACAATTTACAAACATATAAGAGTAAAGAAACTAAGATCACTGAGCCGGGTAACAGAGTAAATATATATATAAATATATTTATATACGTTTGGTGCGGCCGATTGCAACCAAAATACGAGGTGCACATCTACATGTTATAGCAGTCCTATATACAAAATTTCAACGTTCTGAGGCTACTCGTTTTTGAGTTATGCGAGATACGTACGTACGCACGTATGTACATACGTTCGTACAGACGCCACGAAAAATTCTCTTCAGAATTAATTTTAAAGCAGTTTTTATATTTTTTTTTTGAAGGAAAAGAGTATTTTATTCTGTCCTTACGTACAGATATGATGCAAAAACATCGTTAAATTGCATTCGATAGCGGTCAAAATGGATATTTTCGTTGAAATATGCTGCCTGAAACTTTTCGCGATTACAATACTTCCTTTTTACTTCGTACAAGGAAGTAAAAAGGAAGAAAGAAAGATTCGCAGACATAACCTAATTCAAAAGCTTTCACAGCTTTTTGTTTCAGATTTCTCAAATTAAAAATTTTGATTGTTTTGTTGTTGTTGTCTTGTCCATATTACATGGAATAATGTTTGCCAGAGCCTACTCCGAAGAGAGGTAACAATTTTGATTATATAAGTCTTATAAAAATCAGTTTTTGATTCAGATGTTTTGGAAATGCGTTTCAATCTGCAAATGCACTGCAAATCAATTAACTCCATTTGGAGATTTTTCTAAAGCTGCTTCAGTATCCATGTGGGAGGCAATCGAATATATTTCAAATATTTTATCATGTTTCTGCAAATTGGTGAATCGATTGTCAAAAGCAGTTATAAGTCTTCTTATGTCTTATAACTATGTTTATAAAGACTTCTTATGTCTTATGACTTATTATTATGTCTATGGAATATTTCTTATTTCTTTGGAATTTTTATCACATTCCAAATTTTTAAATTTTTTCGATAATGGAAAGTATTAAATGCTATCATTTTTAATTGCGATTCAAATATATTAACAATTTCTTCGGCAATGCTTTCATCTAGGTAAAAGGATCGATTATCAAATTATATTTCCCTTGTAAAGTTATGTTTTTCCAATAAAAAACATAAATTCAACAACCTTTCATCATTACTTAATTCTGCACTGGTTTTTGGTTCTCATTCAAAATCAAACGAATTTCTTCGCGTAATTAAAAAAAAAAAAAAAAAAAAAAAGAGTAAACATTTTCCCACTACATAACTATTTGGCATGGCTGAAATATATAACATAATCATATTTAGTATATAATTCCATTGGAAATTCCTTAAATTGTTGATACGAAAGTGCATGTGATCAAGTATAGCTTACTATTTTTAGGTATAACACGATTCATCGATAGTACTTAAAAGCACACATTTTGTGGATGTATCAAACAACGGATAATAATTAAATATTCTGTTTTAAGGTTATATGATTATAATTTATTTATTAGTAATTTTACCAATCATCAGCCATCAGTTGATACTCCAGAAAGAATTTTTAAACTCCAGACGTTTCCGTATGAAGAGTTTTCGATAACCTGAAAAACTTCACCTTTTGCAATACCCTTTAAACTGATCAGGTTTAACATTTCTTCGGTTGACGAACGAATACCACAAGCTAAGCTGTGCAAAATGTCCGTACTTTTATCATATGCTAAAGAGAAATATTTGAAATCTCGAATTAGATTGCGCAGATTTATGACAGTTTCGTTTTGAATGTCGGTAATTTTCGAAGATATATTGTTTCCGACATGTACTGATATTTAAAAATAATTTGCTTTTATCAGGCACAATATCTTTTGCAGCAGCTTCTAAACGTTCTTTTACAAACTCGCCATCCGAAAATTTGTTTTCCGTTTTTAGCAGCTAGAAATGAAACATAATAATTTGCCCTCATTATATTAGACGGTTGTTGTAATATTCAAATAAACATTCTTTGTTGAGCTTTTAATTACGATATAAATTTTGTGAGTACCCCCCCCCCACAATTTTATATAACTTTTCACATCTTTAAACAATGGACGAGACAGAGAAGTAAAATGACACGTGCTAGCAGAGTTAGAGAGTGTAGGAAAGTGAGTGTGCATTTTAACAAAGCTGTATTATAGAGTCGTTTATTTTTCTTTACATTTTGATCATTAACTTGATAAAGAATATCCTCAATGCTACTCTTACATAATGGCGTAATGCGGATTAATTTTCAGATGACGCACTTAAGATTCATATATTAATAACTTTAAGACAGGTAATTACGGGATAGGTATATTAATAGCTTTTAGATAGGAAGGAGACGTAGCCAAATTAAAATGAGGAAGTAAAAGGACTGTTGTTAAATTAAAGTTAGCACTTTTCTTTCATATCTCTATCTATATCTAAAAAAACATATATAGTTTTAGTTTGTTTTATGAAAGACGTTATATAATATAGCTTTTATTCGTTTAGTTGGCGATGCGAGGAGCTCCAGGACCTGTCGGATTAAGTGGTCTCTCAGGACCTGTGGTATGTATATCATAATAAACTTTTCCGATTAGTTGATTGAAATGAAAATATATGTTATCTGCAAGACTGAGAATTATTATTAGTCAAAAGATGCTTTGTCCTTGAAAGACTATTGTTTTCGTTTTGCGATTTTGCGTTCACTATAAAACTATTCACTTTTCAAACTGTTGCCAGCAAATGTTAGAGTCCTGCATTATATTTCAAGAAATTAAATAATGAAAATCTGCATAAATGTATATATTTTTCTCGCATTGTGATAAAACAACGGTACATAGAGCCATCGGATTTTGAATGACGTAATCCTACTGCGAATATGGGGATGTGGAAGCCCAAATTTGAAATTTGGAATTTGTTTTATTATAGATTTCATATTTTGTAAATCTTTAACGAATTTTTGATTAACAAAATCAAGGATTTCAAAGCGAGCAACATTGTACAGAAAAAACATTTTTATTTCAAATTTAAACTTTATGTATTTCGTTAAATTTTTTTAAAATATTTCTAACGTTATAATTATTATAGAGTTGTGAATTAGTATTTTCATAGTATGTATGAAGTAAAAATGTTTTTATAGAAAAGTGCTAAGTATAATAAATTGTAGCAAGGTTTGCAGATAAATGTCGATATTGTACTTAATGGACGTAAAAATGTAATTTAAATTGTAAAGTAAAACTGCAAAAACGTATATGAAAGACTTCTCTTTTTTCAAATGATGAGACGACTCAATTTCAAAGAAAATGACTCAATTTCAAATGTAAATGATGCGCAGTGCAATGCATTTAAATGCACAACGCACTTCTAAATGTTAATGTGTACAATGTAAAATTCAAAACTTCGCTTACTATTTAGCGTCAAGTATTGTCCTTTTACAGATCTAATGAACAATTTTCATCATTATAAGAAAATTGTAGGATGCATAATATGATAGAAAAATATTTTACTGCATCTATAATTCAGAATTTAATTCAAGCGAAATGAATAAATTTATGCAATTTATTTTCATTTTCTCATAAAACCTGCATTTATGTTCGGTAGGGACCACCAGGATTTCAGGGTCCAAAAGGAGAACCAGGCGAAGCCGGAGAAGAAGTAAGTAGAAAAAAACACATTATTTTTTCCTCAGATTTACATTTGGTTTTCTTCTTTGAAATGTAATACACTTAATCTCTAAATGTGCATATTAAGTAATTAACTTCTCATGTATAATGTAATAAATATAATTAAATAATTCTCTTGCGCCATTGCTACAAGGAATGAAGTTTGAATTTAACAAATACAATTTAACAAACGCAAAAAATACAAATACAAATATTATTTAACTTTACTATTAGTTTCTTATGAAGCAATGTAATAAATATATTTATTTATTAAAAGTTTGGGGAAAAATTTGAAAAATATTATATTCTACTAACGGTCTTCGGTAACGGGTACTACTGTGTTTTTATATTAATTAAATTTACAGTCTAGCGCGTGACTATATAGATCAAGATGTTATTAAAATTTAGTGTAAATTAACTTGTATTTGAATAATCTTTTACAATAAATAAAATTATTGGCATTAATTTTTTTTAAATGTTTTTGTGTTCTTCTGTTAGAACTGTCGGAAAGAACAGAAGTAATTTCTTGAACTGCAAAAGAGAAAGAAAATCAACGTACTTTTTATTCTCACTATATGGAAGAAAACTATCGAGAATTGTTCAGTGCAAGGAACTTTAGCATTTTGCAATAGTTTTCCAAGGAGTGAATATTACGATTTGAAATGTGATTCTAATGATTCGGTTCTTCTTGTAGGTTAGTCATGGCTATTTCTGATTACGTCACCAACCATTCATTAAAATTCTCGATAACAAAAGGTGTGTGTGTGTGATTATGGCAAAGCCTAGAGGGCTCTCTGCCTAAGGAGAGGGATGCTTTCATGGAGGACTTTCTAAGGGAAACTGGCTCGTATACACGTTATATATGAGGAAAACCAGGAAAACGCTCATGCAGCCAGCCCGTTCGCGGGATTCGAACCTCGGACTGAACTACCAGTGTTCAGCGACTTTACTGCTCGGCCGCTGGTGGGCCCGATAACAAAAGGCAACTGAAATTTGTAACATAATCAAGAATGACAGACTGAAGAATTATCAAAGTGTTTTGGTTTCTAATCTGAAAAGGAGCGTTTGTTGTAAATGTTTCTTGAAGGCTGATGAAATTCGAAAGAAGCATCTTAAATTTCTTATTAGCCAAAGCTGATATTCTCACTTTCTTGTTCTTATAATTAGGAGCTTCATCCCGGAAATTTCTCAAATTATTTTCAAAATTTCTGCCATACCAGAAGTATCTTATATTTCAGGCTTATATTTACTAAGATACAGATAGCATGCATATAGCATGCCAATCCTACAACATGATTTGTCTCTAACACGGTTTGAAGACGGTAGAAAATATCCTTTAACACGGCAGTTTTATACTAAAACAAAGGAAACTGCTATTACTGACTCCCTACAGCCAATTTTCTGATACTGCGCCATCATAACGTATTAAAATGGAACAAAATTAAGAGAATTCATCATGCAGATAAATTAGGAATACCAGAAGAAAGAAGAAGAAGCAATTACGTAAGCACATGCAGCCGAAGAACTAACGTTGGATTTCTTAGATAAAGGTTCTTTTCTTAGAAAAGCACAAAATTTGAGGGTACTTTTCCGTTTTGTCGGCGCAGCCGCTTAATGTCGCCAATAATGGTGCAACTGATGCCAAACGGAATATCCTCGCTGGTAATCTTTTACGCCTCATTTTCAAAACAAGTCGCAGCCATTTCTCATCAGATTGATTGGTTCTTTCAATACTCGCATACAATTACATAGAATTTTTACCAGATAATTAAATTTTATGCCATAAGGCCATTAGCGGTAATTAAGTCAATTAGGATACAATCATACCGTTCACCAGAAAGCGAAAATACGGAAAAGGCAATGTCAAGTATTAAATTCACCAATTCTAACGAGAATACACTGCAGTTTTACATAATTTCTGAGTAATCTATTCGTACGAATTGCAATAAGTCTTGCCTTTAAACTTGTATTCCAAATTAAGATTTAACTTGAAATTAATGTAGATAATTACTGAGAGAATTAAATTTTTGTAGCGTAGTTTACGTGAGATGAGATTCCTTGGGGTCACGTGATAGGAACCAGCGAATCAGCTTGTTGAATAATGAAAGCGTAATGAATTCTTAAATTAACGTCTTTTTACAAATTATCTATATTTATTGGCATTTTACAAAATTTTAAACGATATTAAAATGTTTATGCCTTCAAAATAAAAAATTCTTAGAACTAACATTTGCTAACATTTATGTGTATACTGTATATTGTCGCCAATAAAGTCTGCTTGCGAAATTTGCGCCGGCGAAACGGAAATGTACCAATTTGGGAAAAAAATTCACACGTGAATATCCCCACAGAATGCAATTTGTAAAGAAGCAAATGATCGAAATCAACAAATTTGTTCAAAAGTTAGAGCACAAGAATCAAGATTGCTGCTGAAGAAAACCTAGAGCATGAGAATATTTTGCCAAAAAAGAAACTCCTTCGTTTAAATAAGGTGATTCAATTAAAATAGTACAGATTTTTTAAAATCTATACATTTTAGAATCTAAACTTGTGCGTTGTACTACTACTTGATAACTGCAACACACAAAACATAGCGTTTTCTAGGAATCTAACCACTGTGTTATATGGTGGTCATTCGTATATTAAATAAATTTCCCAAAACTTTGTCTTTATTAAAATACTAAAGTGAATATTAATACGATTAATATCATATAATTTATTATGAAATCGCTCATTTTATGCTTTTACCTTAAAGGGACCGAGGGGTCTCCGAGGAATGATGGGACATCCAGGTAGACCTGGTCGAAGGGTAAGTTGAGTAAGTAGACATCTATTTAAAATAAAGCAAAGTAAACTGTTCAGATTATTAAACTTACTTTAGAAATATTTTTTGTTTTGCATTAAAGAGTGTTAGAACATTACGACATATTTTAACATTTCTATTGTATGCGTTATTATTTTAATCCCAGTGAGAGTTCTTTTATTTAATATTCCCTTTACCATTAAAGAAAAATGCAATCAGTAGGCTTTAGATAACGAGCGGGGTTGAATTTCACGCCGTCTTTTTGTTATAGGGTCCTGGCGGAAGAGATGGAGATAGAGGCCCGCATGGTCCAATTGGAGCAAAGGTAAGGTTATCATCATGTGCTTCCGAAGTTTTAAACAGCTGGAAGGAAACGTTAATTGCTTTTAAAAGTTTCTTTAAGATTCTTTGTTTTAAAATAAATAATTTTATATAATTAAGAATTCTATAATATAATTTTTACAGTTCTTTGCTATCAGTTGGGGCACTTTTGATTTTATGTCAATATTTCCTTTTATGCAAAATATTAATATTCTGTTACTGCAACTCCTCTTAAATCCTCACTTTGAACTTCATACTCACCACCATTATAAATTTGAAAACACGCGCATATAAATATGTAGCTACAAAGAAATTTCTCAAGCAGAATTAGGGCCTAAAGAAGATCTGATTTTCTCATTATATGAGTGTTGTTGTTGAAATGAAAATGCTAAAATTTTTTCAATAAACTAATACTCTTTTATCGTTCAGATATAAAAAAAATAGTTGTTGATCAAAGAAACAGCAATTTTACTTGATTTATAATACAAGTTTCTAGAAATTAATGAATGTAACATAATTTAAATGTTTACTAGTAGGAAAATGTACAAAATTAGTGGATTTTGGGCCTTTTTCATAAAGAATCTGTTTAGTAACTCTAAAAATACATGTAAAACGAGAAAATTAATATTACTTCGTATATCAAATTCCGTTGTTTTATTATCATGCTAATTTATTGCGTTATGTCGCAATTCCCAGATTCGAAATATTCATTTCTTTGTTGATAATATTTTCAGGGAGATGTTGGTTTGCCTGGAATGCCTGGACTACCCGGAGAAAAAGGAGATAGGGTAAAATTATAATTTATTTTAACGTTATGTTTTTCTAAATTTCCTCTCTCTATCAAATGTTAATATCTGAAACTTTATTGTATTATAACATTAAACAAAGTCTTAATTAATGTTGCTTCAACGCACGGTTTTAGATTTTAAAAATGCTTTTATTTCGTATACATTCAGAAGATATTATTTTGGGTCATCCGGAAAGTTCTACGGCTTTTCAAATCAAAGCGAATTTTCTTCTAATTACTTTGTTACTGCTGATAAAGAGTGATCTTGATTAAATGTTGTCATTTATTTCTTAATCTTTTCATGTATTGTGCAATTTGGTTTTCCGATGTAGTGCTAAGAGTGGAGAACCCAGTAGTTCTTTTTTATCATGTTACACCCTTTTATTTTAAAAAAGTTAAAAAGTGCTATCCAGACTTTTTCTAAAATTTGTGCTATGTATGGATAAAGTGCTGTTCCTGATGACGCAATTTGATAGCGGTTTGAGAATTTTAAGCTTGGAGATTTCAGCTTCGAAGACGATAGACTTTTTGCTTGACCATACAGTGTAAACAAGGGCCTTTTAAAAGGAGCTATCGCTGAAAATCCACATTATACAGTTCATAAGCTATAAGACCGTCTAAATATTCCAATCATTACAGTACATGATCATTAGAAGAAGATCTTGCATATAAGCTGCTACAGTATATGTGTGCACATACTATAACAGAGTAAGAATATGTTTACTTGAATTTTGATTTGTGATTCTTTGCTGGAGAGAAATAAAGAAGCTTCTTTTTTTAAACGACTATTCATTACATTACTTTCATTGGTACAAAAAAAATAACTATGACATTAGTCAAAAAAACCTCCTTTAGCAAAACTGAGAGGGGGTCTGTATTTCCCAAAATAATGCTTTTTGTATGGTGGGACTATAAATGAACTGCAAACTAAGAAATTTTGCCACCAAATTAGACAGTACATTTGGAAAAACACTGTTCTCAAATAGCAGTTTCAACAGCAGGTATCTAACCAAATTGCCCTGAGCTGACCAGTTGTTGAGGTATTATTTTTCATCATGACAACACCCATGCTCAGCCCCACATTTCGATGAATGTCAGGACAAAGACTTATTGAGCAAAGCTGGGATGTTTTGTTTCACTTCCCCATATTAACGAGATCCTGCCGCTTGGATCTTCATCTCTTCAGGTTACTTCAAAATTATCTGAACGGCCTGAAGTTTACTTCTTTAAAGAATGTAAAATAGCACCTCGATAACTTCGTTACAAATAAAAGCCTAACAACTTTTTTAAAAAAGGAATTTTCCAGCTGGCAGAACGATGACAAAACGTCATAGAACAAAATAGTACTTATGTGCTTTAATAAAATGTGCTTCTGCTTTTTTGTACTGCTTCATTTGCATTTATCATCTCCAAACCACAGAATTTTCCGGATGTCTCAATATTTCAATTTTCTTGTAATAGCGGATTTCTTGAATATTGTATTATGTATCTTCTTAGGGTTTTACGGGACAGCAAGGTGAACCTGGGATGATAGGGCATGATGGACCACAGGTAAAACTAAAAGCAATTTATACTATGATAGTGAATGTATGAAACAAGAATATTTTTTATAGATATTTCAACTAACTGATTTAAATTTCTTTTAAATATAATGTAAAAAGTGACCTATTATATATTTTAAATGATAAACATATCGAGATAAAGATGATTAAGAATTTATGACGGTATGATATCTAATGCAAAATTGTTAAGATTTAAGGTTGTAGAAACTATTTGAAAATGAATTTAATTATTTTGATTTATGTTTATGTATTTACTTGAATGCTTTGCTTTACTGTTATGTCCAGAAACGAATAAAACATGTAGATGTCATTAGCTTCGTAAAAACTGAACTATAGTTTTAGCAATCTGCATATAAATGCTGCAACAGAAATATTTTGAACTATAGAACAATTTTGGAAAGTTGACTGAATATCTTGTTATTACCTTCAAAAACTCTAACATATTCTTTCAAACATCATTGCAATACTTTTCGGAAAAAAAGTCTTTATTTCTAGTGAGCATGAAAATTTCAGCGCGTTTTATTATAATGTTTTGAAACATGCACTTACAGCTAGGGTTCTGTTTGTTGATTTATCAAAACAAACAACATGCTTTGTTCTAGGATTTCATTTTTATTTAGAAATACCTTGACAATCTTTGGATTTTATATTTTGTAACTCAGGCATTATTTTTATTTATGATCTAAGGGAGAAGAAGGTCAACCAGGACCTCCAGGATTGCCAGGAGATATGGTAAGACTGATTTTCTTTCAATTAAAAACATATCACTGTCTTGTTTTCATCAATAATCTAGATATTATTTTATAAGAAAAAGTTATTAAAACAAACCATAAATTGCATAATTATACAAAGTTAGAAAATCTTACAATACAAATTTAGTCAATCAGTATTATTTAAGTATATTTCATAGTAATATATATTTTATAAAAATACCCAAAAGGCCACGCTTCTTACAGAGTTACGTAATTTTTTAAAAAATATTTTTAGTTATGAGGCCGTAAACGTTTTGGGAAAAATTGCTTATCTCCACATGCGTGTGTTTTATACTTTGAATACTGGAGTAAACATTATGTTTTATGGTTACTATAATTTTTCGGCTTCTTTCAACAGTTCCAAATTTCATGTTATTTCTTCACCTCATGTTTTGAAATACTTATATTTTCTTTTATTGGAAACTGTAATCTTTTCAGTCATCTTTTAATCACTGGGAAATGTAACTTCAGAATTATTAACTTCAATATCGTTAACGACTATGTTTTCATTATACATTTTAAGATAGAACAGAAATCGTCAGTTGGAATTTATTAGATTCCGTCAGATCATGTGTCTTCCTTTAAAGTCTTTAAAAATTCAATGCTTAAAGCATCATGTTAACCGTAAAGTTTTTTTTTGCTATTAAAAGCTTCGAGTTACTATTTTTGTAACTCCAAGCTTTAATGTTTTTGTAATTTTGCTTTAATGTTTAATGTTTTTTTAATGTTTTTGTATAATGTTTTATAATGGAATTTTTTAGAGTTACTCTCAAAATGTACATTTGTTCCTGTTTTTGAACAACCTCTTTAGATCCAAGATAAAATTTAAATTCTCTTACCATGATTTTAAATTATATTGACAATTAGAATATTAGTTTTTTCTTTGACGTAAATTGTAATTAAGCATTAACATGGGTGTAATTAAAACTTTATTTGCTTGAAAGCTTTATTGCGTTTACGAATATAATTTATGCAATTTTTAGGGACCTAGAGGTTTCATCGGACCTAGAGGCTTTCCAGGATTGCCAGGACCACCGGTAAGCCAATTTAGACTTTTATGTATTGCACTTTTAAAAATTAACTTATAATCTCTAGCATATTTTAAATTGTCCATAGATTTTCTGAAGATATATTAGAAATTATAAGAGATACTAACATGGGTGATCTATAGCCTGTCAATTAATCATCTGTTAATTGCAAAATTAATTAATTGTAAGTTATATTGAAGCTGTAATTTATTGAACTATGTAATTATATGCCAAAACTGAAGTTTAAAACTGATTCTGGCAATGCAATAATATTATTTCATTATAGATTTAAATCTTCTTTGAATTATAACGCAACTAAAATTTAATTAAATAAGTTTTTAAAGACCTTTTTTTATAGACAGATATGTTTGATTAAGTTAATATGTGCTCATTTCAAATGGATAACAGATCACAAAATTCTGATTTACGTCATTTCAAATAGATCAAGTTTTATCTACAAATTAGTGTTGTGCTTCATCAAAATATTGTGATATTATTTTGTGAACTGTGCTACGTTTCTTCTTCTTTGGCCAGAGGGAATGTGCAGGCAAGCCTCCACATTTATTCAGCATAAAGTCTTTTTACTGCGACCGCTCAATGACAGAGCGAAATTCACGGCTACAACCGGTTTCTCCTCCTTCTGCTGTTGGGCTTCGAAGGTGTAGGTCGTTCTTCTGGCTGTCTTGACCCCGGCTGACGTGTGCGCCATGTTTGTGTTTTTCGTTCTTTTTTGACTGCCATCTCGATATTGTGTGTAGAGTAATGTATTTCGCCGAGTAAAGAAATTGGTACTGAAGATTCAACTAGAATTATCTAGATGCTGACTCCTGCAGTAAATTAACGAGGTTCTATGACTCTTCAAAAATATATTGAAATTGAAATATCCTTGAAAGAACTTGTGTCCACTTTCAGGATGATATGAATATCCGCCTTGTGCTTTTTCAAAAATATATTGGAATAACCAGTCAACTCAATTTCCTCCGTTATAAAAATTGATTATTTTTATCATGAAACTTTGTTTAAAGACGATGTACTGAGATTCACTTTGATTGGAATATTACGCGTTTCTTGTACGAAAGGTTAGGATTCAGAATGGTAGGACTATTTCTTTCAGCCGCTATTCGATCACGGTTAATAAGCTTCTGTCTGGCGATATTTACTTAATTTATGCTGGTATTAATTCAAAATTTTATGATGTCAAGTTATAATAAATATTACTTAGTTCACATTATTTGAAGTGTTATCCTTTGGGGTCAGATCTCACATTTCATCCTGCACGTTTATCAAGTATATCTGGTTTATTGTACTTCATATTTTTATTACACCAATTACAAACACTCCCCCCTCCCCACCTACTGCCAATTTTGTTTGAGCATTTGGAATAAATACTTATGAATTTGAAATCAAAACAGATGTATCAAACTTACTAAAACCCAAACTGCTTAGTAACTTAAAATAAAAGTCGCAAACTGAGAATTGGTTCTATAGAGAAATTTATAATATATATCTGAAGAGTTTTCAGGTAAGAAAATTCTTTTCACCTAATTGTACTGAAGCGTACTGTGTTATAATAATGTTCCTGCCTTTCTTAACAAATAATAATTTTAATTCTGGGCTACTTGAATTAAGAGCCAGAGTCACTAGAATTCATTTAAAATCTATTGGAGACTAAATAATATATTTATCAATTAAGAAAAATTAAAAAATTTGCTAAATCTGAATACTTTATTTTTAATAGATACTTCCTTTATTTTTTTAATAAATGTTATGATTTATTTTATCTTACTAAACACTACATTTCGAATTTCAAAACTTTATTTCTTTCGTAAATATTTTAAATCTTATCTTTCGTAAATATTTTAAATCTTAATTTTCCAATACATCACACATTAAGATCCTGTTTCATTAATAATCCTTCTCCAACAAAAAGGGCCTACCAGCGGCCGAGCGGTAAAGTCGCTGAACACTGGTAGTTCGGTCCGAGGTTCGAATCCCGCGAACGGGCTGGCTGCATGGGTGTTTTCGTGGTTTTCCCCATGTGTAACGTGTATACGAGCCAGTTTCCCTTAGAAAGTCCTCCACGAAGGCATCCCTCCTCTTAGGCAGATAGCCCTAGTGTGCTTTGCCATAATTAAATACACCACCAGCAACAACAAAAAGGAAACATAATTACAGTAAAATGCTGTTAAAAACTTTTCAAGAGCCAGAGGGTTATGGATTTCTGAAATGGGAAAAGGGAAGACTTACTAAAGAAATTTCTGAAATGGGAAGAAGGAAAACTTACTAAAGCAAAAGGATAGTTAGCGAATAGTTTAAAAGTCACCAGAAACATTAGAAGAGACATCTTACAGATTTGGGCAATGTTTAGTGTTTAATAATAAATAAGTATATCTTTTCAATTTTTATAGAATTAGCTCATTGCTAAAGGAAAATTTTTAAGTGCGTATAATGTATTCAGTTCCAGCATTTTTCCGAGTTGCAGAATTAAATAATCAGCAGACATATGTAGAATGTAATACATATTGATTTCCCTCTATTGTTTGGTTTTATCGGCCAATTAACTGTCGTAATCAATGAATTACCATCCAGAATATATCTGTTTTATCAATTTAAAACCGCATGAGGTTTTCTAAAATTTTCATCTATCGGTCATGCAGATATAGGCCTTTTGAAACAAAGCATATATTGATAACTCAGTAATCGGAAAACATAAATAAGATCGTCAGTAAACTTAAAAAACTGTTACATCGTCAAAGCAAATAACACTTCTTAAATGAAATTTTTGTACACTAAAGCAAGTTATGAATTAGTAAAAGTCATAAAAATACCTACTCTTGTTATCACGGAACGTGATTTCCTAAGGAAAAATCTTAATAAATAGGACTTAATAACTTCATATCAGGAAAATTCTGTATATACTTTTCGAGTTTTATGTGAGTTTCAAAAATCCGATTTCGTATTCAAAACTTAATGCCCCGAAATCCTGAGATAATTCAGAAACTCGCAAATAAAGACCTCAGACACATTCGAGAATTCTTAACCCAGGTTCAGATTATCTGCTGCAGCCCAAAAAACCTTTGTCTCCATCTTTTAATGAAAGCTTGCACATATTTTATAGCGTGTACACTTTACGATGAGAGGGGCATTTAATATAAAGACTGTCTTTCGATAACAATTTGAGAAAATTTTTCAAAAATACGCAATTTGTGAAAATGGTTTTTCAGATGGTACTTTAACATATTTCAAAAATCTTATCAAACTGTTTGTATTAACTGATTTTCAGCCAGCAGAAAATCAGCTTAAGGATTTATTTGTGATTTAAAAATTACATCTACGTAATTTATTTCAAATACTTACGTACTTACGTCATATTTTAGATTTACGTCATATTTTAGATTTGACGGTTTTTATATATTTTAGATTACGTCATATTTTAGATCTGACGTTCATTTTCGTCATATTTTAGATAATAAAATCTAACGAAAATGAAGGGATATTTTAATATAAAACACAATCTAAAACCTGGTTTCTCTCTGAATAAATTGTGCAGTATAGATATGAAAAATATACTAATTTATGTATCGTAAACTATTTTCGTTTAAGCGCTTTCATTTTGAACATGTAAAACACTGTATTAAAGCCTATGAACTTTGTATTGAGACTATTAATACCTGAAAAACGTGGAGTCATTTATCCTTTGGAGAGACTGGTGTTAAGAATATAGAGTAATCATTCGGAAAAAAAATTTAAAAATAATAAAGTTTTCAGATTTTAAATTACGTCCAAAGGGACTTTTTTAAACATTTTATGTGTTACCTTTATTTATTAAATATCATGTTTTAGGCATTTACCATAAAATTCAGTTCAAGAGCAATATCACAAAATAATTTTAAAATCACCATATCTTTAGAATTTCCGATGCACAATCTCACATGCTGGAGCTAAAAATGTTTTTTCTGTACAGCGTTGCCATTGCTTGCTTTGAAATCCTTGAGTTTGTTAATCACAAATTTGTTATATGTAAAAAATATATATAAATTTTACAAAATATGAAATCGATAATAAAAAAAAATTCCAAATTTTTACTTCCAGATGCCCATATTGGCAGGAGGATTACGTTATTCAAAATTTGATGTCTCTTGGTACCGTTGTTTTATCACAGTGCGAGAAACATTCATACATTTATGCAGATTCTTCATTATTTAATTTCTTTAAATATAATACAGGGCGATAATATTTGGTGGCAACAATTTGAAAAGTGAAACAACGCTTGTAGTGAGTCGACACAAAATGCCAAAACGAAATTAATAATCCTTCTGGGCATATTGCCCCTTTGGACTAAAAAGAAGTAATTGTAATAATAAGAATAAGATTTTAATAAGTATTTCATTAAAAGTATAAAGTTCTGATTCATCTCAAGCGCTTGGAGCAATTACAACCAAATGTAAAAAATTATCATTAATTAAAATACGAAAGTTTCAATCAAGATGATATTTGGGATAAAACGATTTGCTGATATGTTGTATACATAATTGTATCTCTTCTATTTTATAATATTTGTATTATAAAATAACTTAATCGAGTAACACGTAAGATACAAAACCTATTCTACTCAAACTCATATGCCCGAACTCTATATGATTTATTTAATCATAAAAAAAAGAACACCGTTTCATGTGAAATGTTTTATTACATATTTTGCATAATTTAGAAAAAAAAAAAAAAAAAAAGAAGAAAAAGACTGAATTGAAGTTTAGTTCTAAGATGTTTATAAAATTAAATGCGCCAATAACATATTAACGGCAATTTCCTTTGCTATATAAAAGGCACTGCATTTTAAAAAATCTTTTGCTTTTATTAGCTTTTTTATTAGATTAAAACAGTTTTACTTCAAAAACCTTTTTTATAGTTTTTTTTTTTTTTTTTTTGATAGAAAATATGCTTAACTGTAATCTTGACGAATCTTTTTGTTTGTCTAGGGCATACCTGGTTCTGAAGGGTCACCAGGCGCTAAAGGGAAAGAGGTAAAGAATTTTAAGTTTATTTATTGGTCTTGAATTCAATATAAAGCATTTCTTAAATTTTATTGTATTACAAAATTTTAAAAGCTTTATTATTCTTTAAACAAATATATATATGTGTTAATTTTGATGTCCTACTAGGGTCCACCTGGGCAACCGGGACAACCAGGACAAAGCGGTGCAGCTGGTCCTATGGTAATTTAGCGTTGTTATTAATTTACGAATTCTTGTAGGTCTGTTTTACCCTAATGCTTTTAAGTCTGTTTTACAATGTCAAATGCTTTTAGTTTCTAAAAGTATCGCTAATGCAATCATTGAATGTTTACTGAAAAATAGAGCAAATTTGCTTTATGAGAAAAGTTTTAATTACTTCACTATTTGAATAGATCTAATAGATAGTTGAATAGATCTAAAAACCCTTACCTGTTACTGTGTTTGAATTTGTGATTTAATTATTTTGAAACTATTCATTTATTCATATTCGAGTGAAATATGACTTAAGATTCTATTATTTTATTCATAATAAGCTAAATATGTTCTCATTTTTATGATCAGTTTTACTTCTTTAGTCTTCGTAATCAGTTAATTTCTCTGAAATAGCTAACAGGTTAATATATCATCAAGTTTCTGAAGTTCATCTGATAATATATATTGTAATTTCAGTCAATATAAATGATTATATATACTACTCAGAAAAAGTTATTATTTTAATTTTTTTTCCATTAGGGGCCACCAGGACCACAAGGGCCACTTGGACCTCAAGGACTCGCGGTGAGTGAATAATACGCCACTTTTACTTTATTGTTTCATAACATAGTGTCAAGTTAAAATTTTGATATTATTTAGGTATATTACATTAATAATAATATACATATTTAAAAGTTTTTGAGAAAGAAAATGCTGACCATTTAAATAATTCCATTCAAATATTAAGCTTGATTATGTAATTCCTAAATTTTTTAATCGTTAATCATTATGCTAATTAACAAAAATATAGATTCTGAATTCATAAATATGTAACTCTATCATTTTGTCTGTCACATTTCTTCTTGTTCCGTGAAAAAGAATTAACCGAAACCTATACCAGAGATTCATGTCCAAGGACTATCGCTATAAATATTTAAAAAAGATATTCAATTTGAGCGTGCATGTATACATATATGCATATGTCTGTGTAATTATATATAATAAATACAGACATAAAGATAGCCTTTTTATGCATGAACACACATATATATTTATACGTGTGTGTGTGATGAAAAAATATTTTCTATGGTATAATATATTTCTATGGTATGTTCTATATCTATGGTTTCTATGTATGATGAAGGAGGGATGAGCTCGATGCATAAGATGGTGGCAGTCGTTATGGCTGGTTGAATTCCTTCTTTTATTGTTGACGTGGCATTTTTTATTCAAACACGATTAATCCAATCCGCGCGTCTGTTCTGGATTATGTACATTTGTGCCATTTTTAAATCTTTGTTACAATTTCGTAAAAGAAAAATAAGTGGCAACAGAACAGCAAGTGAAGAGAGAAATATGCTGATATGAACATTGAACCAGTATGCAGGTTTAATTAAGAATAAGGCATTTTTGTTTTGATTTATTCCTGTTGGCTAATTTTATTAACAGTTGAAGAATTCTAAAAGTACATGCTTTATTGTTGACAGCAATAACAAAAGTAATATTGCAGGAGGAAATGTGTTTAATTTCACAAATCATATGCAGGCTTATGGCATCTTTCGGTTCTGACAAATTGTGTGGATTTGATGAGTAACTCTGCATTTAAGATAACCCAGAACCAGAAATCTATCCCAATGTGGTCGAGGGTCGTTGTCGCCATGAAACTGCGAAGTTACGAGATATGACTCAGTCTCGAATGTGCAGTTGCAGCACTTGGCAATTACGCGATGACGAGTGGAGGAGACCCTCTTGCATCCGTACAATGTCATTAATCACATTTCCGTGCTGTAATTCTGCAACATTGTTTTGTACCGAGCACTTGTGCTGTAGTACATTTTTCATATCAGCTGAAGTGACTTCGAAGAAGTACGAATGTGCTTGCGACGCCGCATCACGCAATCGCATTAGCTTCGAGTAAACGTGCTGGTGACATAACGTAAGGATTTTCATCAGCTCTGTGAACTCAGTTCTTGGAGTTTACTTTTCCAGTTAAGGAGGAATGCGCCTCATCCGTATATAATATCCGGAGCGGCCACCTGCTATCTTGATCATATCTGGATATCTGGTGAGAAAAAAAGTCGCGAAGTTGCTCGTTTCCAGGTTGCAACATCTGGAAGCATTGGAATTGATATGAAAACTTCCTCAGAACACAGTACAGAGAGGCCTGTGGGTTTTGGTACATCCATTGTACGGGAATCACTTGTAGTATGCAACGGACCTGGATTAATCGTATTACGCACTTCCACAACAGCCATAACAGGAACACATTGGTACTTAGGATAGCGGTCTATTATATGTGCATCCAGTTTCTTCTAATTTCTTTTACCAAATCACGTACAATTTTTACGCAAAATTTAGGATTTCGCCGAATAAACTCTTAAACTCTGCTTCGGCAGCATTTTCTCTGTTCAGATAAAACAGCTTTATCACTTCACCTCGTTGTTTCCCTGTAGGTGTTGTCTTGTTAGAACGTTCGGACACCTGACAGAAGAAGCAAGCTTCCCACACTGTTTATTAAAGATTTTGCATAAGCAATGTTTTGTACATGGTATTCTGTGATTGGTGCTTCTACTGTTTATTCCTTCGAATTATGCAATATGTATCAGTGCATCTCCTCTCTGTGTTGTCAATGGTCCTTTACAATGCTCTTCTTTGCAGATGTTAGACGGCGCCAAATTTTTGTGAGAGATGTATCATTCCAACAGCATCTATGATTTTTCAATACGCTGATCAGTGTGCATAGGAAAAAAATAGGTGTTGCTTTTCGAAAATTTGAAATCGTTTTACTAAGCGTAACCATGATAGCTCTTTTGTTTTAAATAATCAAATACGCGCATACCTTCAGATAACAATATCTGAATTTCATTTAGTTAGTTGAGCGGATAGATATATAGGCGTTTATATATCGGGGAAATTTCTTTTATGACCACCCTGTATATATGTATACGAAGTTAGATGAATGTAGGTAAAAATAGGTAAAATGAAATGGTAAAAAGAATGCGTAAAATGACTCTTAAACGTTTCACTTAAAAAGTAGATGATGTCATAGTTGCTTATATCTCTTATGCGGTAAGAAACCAGTAGGAAGGCCCAGTTACTTTCTAGACTTTCCCTTGCAGTCTTATGAGAAGATATGTCCGAATGTAGCGTGTGTCTGAGAGGCAAATGTTTGGAGCCAGCCCTTATCCTGGGTGTCTTTCTGACTAAAGAACAGATTCATCTGATGTGTTTTAAATACTCTATCCAAGGTTATGACACCGTATTGAGCTTCTGGAAGAACATCATCCGATAAATACTAGCATAAACGGAAACGTTCCTTGAAAGTGTATAGGAGGTATAAGTTATTACCGCACACTGTGGCCTAAAATAAGAGGATAACAACTGCAAACGTAGTTGCAGAGTTTCTGCATGCTTTCCAATCCTGCCGAAGAGAACTCCGCGAATAGGGAATTTATAGTGTAATTGCAATTACCAAACCCCGGATTAATGACTCCTTGCAGAATTACTTCATTAATCAAAGAGATACGGCATCCATAATATTGAAGCTACTACTCAATGGAGATTGTCAACGGTTTGATAAATCGATCTACACATCATTTCCAGCCTGTGTTCAAGTTTGTGTGTGAAGAATAGCAACTCCAGGTTTGATCGGAGTTCGTTTTATCAACAGTGAAACAAGGAAGAGGTATAGTCATGGGTTTGCAATCATAATATTCTGTAGGTCCTCCTTTTGCAAAATCATGTTTTTGCACTATATAAACATTTTCAGCAATTAAGTGCTTTCTGTGATGCAAACAATGTTTTCTGCAGGAGATGTAATTTATCAAAATAATAAGGACCCATTTCATATTATCTGTGAATATCCGAACAGATTGATGAGATTGCTTTATTTTCCATGTCTTCTTCAGTTGTCATACCTCAGTGACATAGAACTCTCTATGGCGATTAATTGCTCCTTATTTTTCTATATTTATCCGTTTAAAATTTTTCTAAGTCGTCGGAATGAACAACTCGAAATTCTATCGTGCTTATTTATTTGTATTTTTCCGACTTTTCTGTATGTTCATTCCAATATTGGTAAGGTGATATCTTTTGAATTCTGGTGGCTGCTCTTCATTTTGACTTATCTGTAAAAAAGGAAAAAGAGACAATTTAACTTTCTTTAACAAATTTATTAATTTTGTAGTTTTTAATTATATTGTAACATATTAGTTTTGGATTCATTGTTTATAACTTAAATGCAAACACAGTAGAATTCGAACATTTGAATAAACTCAAACCGTACTTTATAATAAATATAACTTGGGGAAGCACTTATTGAAGTGCAAGCAGTGAATAATGGAGTAAACAAAGAAACATATTTATATGCAGTATGCAGTATGTAATTTCTACATATTATTTGCCGAATGGTATTGACCAAATCTTGTCTCGTGCGCAGATTTCTAAAAATACTTGAAAGATTTCTAAAAAATCGATCTTTCTCCTACACTCAAAGGCTGTTATAATTTTTACTTCACTATTTTACATATCACTTATGAACGTTTTTCTGAATTTTATGTAAAATTTAACATTTATTAATTTCCTTTTAACTTTTGATAAGAAAAATACTCAATTTAAATTATTTTAATGCGATCCATATATAAAATTAAAAAGAACAATTTACTATCTTTTTTTAAATCTGCTTTGTACTTTATAGGGACCTAGAGGAAAACCAGGACTACCTGGCCTGGCTGGTGCAGATGGGCTTCCGGTATACCCGTGTTTCCTTCTTGAATTTTCTTGTTTTTTGGATGGTTGTCACAATTTTTTGTTTTGTAACTGCATATATTATTTTGCAGGGACCATCAGGGGAGCCTGGGATTCCAGGAGCCAAAGGAGATACTGTAAGTAGAAGTATTCTCGCTTCGTATACATATCAGTATTTCAATTTTATGCAGTTACTATCAATCGGAATTCTGAAACGGTTCAGATTTCTCATTATTAGTATAGAAGAAAGAGATAGATACTTAGAAAGAGAAAGATACTTAGAGAGAGAAAGTATTAACATATTAAAAAGTCATGAAGAAGAAAGTTATAAATTTTGAAAATCTGTCAATGAAATATTGTCAACTTGTCAATTTAAAATATGAAAAAGCTGGCGAATGGTATAGACCTTAATTCAAACTATAATTTTGCCAATTGAATATTTTGACATTAAATATCCTCTTGTATATTATTTATTACATATTATGTATCTTTACGTAATTGAAATTCTCAAGAAATTACTATACATCCTACCTAAACCTTATCTCTAGATTTGCAAACCTGAAGGTGAATGCTGTCTAAGGCAATTCAAAATAGCACTAAAGCTGATTATACTGTCATTAAGCTCTTAAAAGTTTTAAGAGTCTAAGTGTATTAGATATATTATAGGTGTGATACACCAAAGCCTGAACAAGTAGTAGAGATAGTAAATGTCAAAACAATATTTTCGCAGCAAGTATGATTGAATCATTCAGTGAAGAATTGTGGATTGATATTTTATTGTTTCCAAGACTGACATCTTAAAAACGATTGAATATTCGTCCTTTGCTTACAGATATCAGTATCTGATTCATTTTCAGACAGTCTATTTTATTATCTGCACAATATAGTTTAGTTTTCACTAAGGAATTATGTACATATTATGCATTTGATATAAAACTCTACGTTTTTATAGTATTTTACTTTCTTTTCAGTATTTTACTTGTTATGTTATTTTATGTTTTCTTATTGTTCACATAATAAGAAGAGCATGCGGTATTAACGTTGACTCATTTACTTCTTATTATGTGAATAATAAGCTTAAATACTGCTTAATATGCTTAATTACACCATGATTCGGACTTGTAGTATAATATTTCTAAACAGCAACATTTAGAGTATTACAAAGACAGCATTGTCATATTTGTTAATAATTTGAATGAAGTTTTATAGAAATTGTGTCTTATGAATATTAGAAAGAGGGAAAAGTAGTAAATGCTCCATTCACAGAGGAATTTAAGTTATACTCAGTGTTGACAAATGAGGGAGGGAGAATTTTATTCAGTTTTGCATCGGACAGTAATTAGAATAAAAATAATTTTTGTTTATTATCATAAAATTATTTTCTACAGGGTGATCCTAAATTATTTTTACATATTAAGAGAGGCGACAGTACCCATCCAGATGAACAATAATTACCATAGGACATATTGTCTCATTCCACTCTGAGACGCAGAAAAGAGAAATATTAAAATTCCAACCTGAGCTAACAACAGTGTTGGGAAAGCGAATGAACGGAACCTAAAGTTGCGCAGATTTATTGTTTAGTGAAAAACTCACAGAAAGTACTCAAAATGCCGACTACGCGTTTCGTTGCACAATTGACAGCGGCGAAGGAACGACTAGTGAATCTTTTCGAAGATCGGTTGTCGTGTTAATTTTGTCCGCGGCAACAAAGCTTCTCGCCACGAGATCTTCAGCTGAGTCCACAGGCGTCTGATACACTAAAGATTTCATATGCCTTCAGAAGAAAACGTCCAGTGAGTTGAGGTCTGATGAGCAAGAAGGCCTAGCCACAGGTCCGCCACGTCCGATTCATCGTACTGAATATGTGGCATTCAAAATGTTACGGACAGTGACAGAAAAGAGTGCTGGGGCTCCAACCTGCATAAACCACATGTCTCTCTGAATGGGAAGCGGATCAGCCGGCAATAAACTGGGAATTACTTTTTCCAAAAACATACGGTATGTTGCGCCAGTCAAATGGTCTGGCATGATGTAATCACCTAAGATACATGCCCAGACGTTCACGAAAAATTTCTGCTCGTGTTTATGAGGGGTAGTGCTGTGGGAATTGCTGTCAGACCAAACATATTGACTGTGCACGTTGAAAATGTCTTCTGTGGTGAATGTTGCCTCATTACTAAATAATATTAATGCAGGAAATCGTGGATCGTTATTCCTCATTCCAAGCATCCACTGCACAGTCTGCCTGGCAGGAATAATCACCTGTGTCCAAAGATTGCACTTTTTGCACGTAGTAGTGGTGCATGCGTTCCTTGTGTAAAATACGTCACACCATTGGCTGAGAAATATCCATTTCATATACCATCGCTCGCGTACTTGTGGAAGGAGCTGCTTCAAATCTAGTCAAAACTCGCTCTTCCATTTCCGGCGTTCGTGCATTTCGCGGAAGTCATGCATTTTTGAGGTGGCAAAAGAACCGGTTTCTCGTAGGCTTCGATCAACGGTGGAAAAGGTTGGGTGATTTGGAAACCGACGAGTTGGAAACCGCTGTTCCTACAATCTTCGTGCTTTGCGTCCAGTCCCTTTGGCTTCACCGTATGTGAGGTGAATATCTGAAAATTCCTCGTACGTGTACTCCGCCACAGCATTTACGAAAAGTTTCGGACGATGTTACCAAGGTAATACTTGAAGCGATGATGTTGTGCCGTTTTTCAAGGACACCGTATACTCTGATTGGCTTGTACTCGCTTCGGCAGTACATATACTATAATTGGAACGATACAGAGATTAGCATGGCCCCTGCGCAAGGATGACACTCTGATTGGCTTTCTCCGGTACCAATTGAGAGCAAAATGCTGCTTCTTCTCAGTGCAAATTTGCATGCGGTTATTTCTTGTTAGTCTTAGGAGACAGTCTCCTTGTTCTTCCTCGATGCGCTTTCCTCTTTTCTGCCTCTCAGAGTGGAATGTAACTCTATATGGTAATTATTGTTCGTCTGGATGGGTATTGCCACCGCTCTTAATTTGTAAAAACGATTTACAATTACCCTGTATAAGACTGTAGTTTTTTTTAATTACAAAAATCATTTATTTCTTTAGTAAAAAGGTTTATAAATTTTAATAATTTTGAAATGCAGTTTGTTCTGTTACCTGTTCCTATTATAAAGCGCTAAAGCAAGGGAATAATAATCACTAAAAACAGAGAGGTAGAAAATAGATGATTCTACTGTAGAAATCCATACTGCAGTAGAATGAATACTGATCATTCTACTTCTCATACGTTCCATTTCCTTGTATTTTCCAATGAATTTTCAAGACCTTTATAACAAACAAACTTTATATATCGACTTTATATATTAATTAATTTATTTATATATTTATTATTATTATATATTAACTTTATATATCGACTTTTGATCAACTCAGAAATGATTTAAATCTCATTCTTTTCTATCTATTCTTCTATTTTTAAAACATACTGCAGATGCAGATGAAGCAAATCAGGTACTTTAGGATCATTTTGTATTAAGATACCAAAAAGCAACATATAAAGAGTATCACTTTAGCTATACATTTCAACTGTAAATTTCTATATTTCTAATGATTTTCTTGTATTTATATAAATTCATTTGTATATAGTTTAATTTAAATCTACAATATTCTACCATTATTATCTATTTTAAACGTATTATAGATGTAGTAGTTGATGCAGTTCAAAGGCAGTTCATTTAAGATCTGTTTATGTTAAAATAAGGCATTATGATACCACTTTTACTATAATTTTCTACAGTAGAATGATCTATTTTCTACCTCTCTGTTTTTAGTGATTATCATTCCCTTTCTTTAGCGCTTTATAATAGGAATGATATCTTTAGCACTTAGATGTGAATGATCTTAGCGCTTTATCATGGGAATGATATCTGGTTTTCTTTTCTTCAAGTAAAAATGTTAGACAAGGAATTTGGCAGTTTAGTATTATTTTTTAGTTGCTAAAAGATGACAAAATGCTTCAGTAATTATTAAAACCTTTCAGCATTTATATAACATAAATTTAAAGTAATTTGAATTTACAATTTGCTATTGCAATAAAGACTGTAATTGATAATTTTTTATTTTATGCTAATTATACAAGGTCTGTTAAACATGTAACGTTTTGGTAAACAGTGAAGAAAATTTTGAATTTTCAACAATTAATAATAATTCATTTGTAATTTTACTTCATTTGTTATTTTTCGTACTTCAGGATAAATTCTTTAACAAATAGAAACTTGATTATTGATTATTAATTATTATTAACAAACAGAACAATTTTGTCTTTATCTAATCACTATTTTATTTAATAAATAAGTTATTTATGTATATGGAAGAGAAATAATCAAATGTCAAATGTAAAACAAAAGTCATCCTTAAATTCGTATTTGTTTCTATATAGTCCTAACCAGCTTAACGCTAATTTTATGTCTAGTTTTATAATTATTTTGATATAGAAGAATTTTTATAAAAACTCAAACTATATGAGTTAAACTTCAAGTTTGTTATAAAACATATTAAATATGACATAACAGTTTTTCAATCATTTGAAATTTTAACATTATTTCGAATTTTAAATACTTTTTTATGTAGTACTTTATTGGTTAAATCTTCTTGTTTAGTCAATTTCGTGCCAAATCTAGCATAATGCTGAGCATTTCTTGACAGTTTTTCAAATAACTTTTACATTTTATTTAATTTAAATTACATAAAAATGTTTTTTTATCATATAATCAAAATTTGATATTCCTTCTTACTTCTGTAGGGTGGACCTGGGCCTCAAGGACCTATGGGATTTCCTGGTCAAAGAGGAGTGAAGGTCAGTTATAGTCATTGAATATTTGTGTAGTATAAGTTGAGAGCTTCTTAATTATAATATTTACTTTTCAACTCTTAGAATAAAATAATTTTGATAATCTTAATAATTGCATAAGAATTTCATTAAAAATTATGAAACAATTTGTTTTATGTATTTGCCTTGTTTTCTGATAATTGTAACCCTAATTTCTGATAGTATATGGATAAAATTAGGGGAGAATTTGATGAATTATAAGAACTAAATGTTTCATGCTAATATTAATAAATTGAAAAGTGCCAGTGATATGTATATTGAATCAAAAGAATAACAAATTTCCTTATCAAATCAATAACTGTAAGTATTATTAATAGTTTGGGTTATAATTTACTTTGATTACTAGAACATGCATAAGCGTTAATTCAATCAATTAATCTGAGGCAATGCACGTTAGATTAATTGATTAAAGCAAAGCAATTCGAACGCTGTTTGCCTATAGGTAGGGTGCCTTTATTAAAAATTATTTAAAGGCTTTTTAAGGGAAATTGGCTCGTATCCACGTTACTCGGAGAAAACAACGGAAACTTCTCTGTAGCGAGACCGACTCGGGAGATTTGAACGGGGATCGAACTATTAACAACTTTAACGCATCGGCGACTTTACCTCTCATTCGCTGTTGAGCACATACGTGCAAAGAAACGTTGTTTCAAAATACGCTGTTGTTGTATTTATTTCCTATCATTCTGTCTTAAATACCTTATATCGTAAAGGATGTACACTGCGAAAAAAAGGGGGGCGGGAAGTTACAATTTCCCGTTCTACTGGGCCAATTGACGAAAATTCCAACTGCGTTTTTCATGTTTCGAAGCGCGACTTAGGATATGTATTAGATTTATATATAATATTGTTCTAATATAGGTATTTTGACACAAAATCAGACGTTTTCTGAAATGACATTTCCATTTTTTCCATCTTTGTGCAAAATGGGGTAAGAAGCAAAGTTTTCTTCGTGAAACGATATCATTCTGATAAAGAAGGAATAAACTACAACATTATCATTTTCGATGACAGTGCCATGTCTCACTTTAGAAACCTTTAAAACATGGGCAATAATAAATAACATTTGTCAAATGTTGATTGAAATAAAGACTCGGTGAGTCTCAAGTAGAGTGGAGCTGAGAGACAAAGAAGAGATAATAGGAGATGACACTATACACTTATCTGATTATTTTTACGGAAAGGAATTTCGGGCCTATATTTATCTATTTAATACTGTGTTTGTTTTTCTTGCTTTATAATCACTGATTTCCATTGGTTTTTCAGTTATGGGCTTGTAAACAAGGTACTGTTGTGAAGTTGAAATTAGAAATTATCTGTAGTATAAGAATGAATAAATCCCTTTTACATTAATTCCTGTGGGAAAAAAAATTGTTTCGGAGATGAACATTTAGGTTCACCAATTAAATTGATAAACCGAAGTTTCACTGCATTCATTTTCTAAAACCATTTCTTATGTATTAAAAAGTATAGCAAACACTTTTTAATTAAAATGCAGTGCAGAAATGTTTGAACATATTTTCTGATATATGCTTTATTCCGTAACAATTGTTTTCTTTGACTGGCGTTGAATTTTCCATGCATATTTTTGTGCTGTTCAGATTTAAACTACTAGTGATAAAATGTACTGACAATACTTTGTCTTCATAGGGTGATCAAGGTGTAAGAGGACCCGCAGGCGAAAAAGGCGAAAAGGTATGAGAGTTTTTTCACTTTTATCATACACTATCCGTTATATCATTCATTTATCTGGTTGGTGGTGCTGAAGCTATGGGCAATAAATGTGATACATTATTATAATGTGGACATAATTTATTCGGCGAAATCCAAACTATTCTTTTTATGCAAAACATATAACTGAGATTTGTCTAATATTATAATTATGGTGATAAGACTAATATAAAACAATCATAACTGGGATTTAAAATGCATTGTTTGCGTCTGTATATTATCTTTAATATATTGTGTGATGTAAAGACACGCCCAGAAATTTGTGAGTTAATGTTATTAAATGTTGTTTTCAATTCTTGAATTGTCTCAGATTAAATCGCTTTCTTTAGAACGCACTAGAAGATAAGTACCGAAGAATTAAATTGGTGATAAAAAGACACAATCAGACAAACATTCCACAACTTACATCAACACATGCTGAACTTTTTACGTGATTGCCTTATCGGGCAGTTTTTTATATTGAATATAATCGATTCAAATGAAATTTATAAAAAAAGCGATAGCCTTTCTTTCCTTTATATAAAAAAGGAAAGAAATTGATAGCATCGACGTGGTAGGGAGTGTAGAAATAATTCAAAGGATTATGTAAAACTTAATTCATGCACAGGGATTACAATACAACGTTTTATTACTAGAATAAACAGACCATATTTACCAAGATTATCAGGACTACTATTTTTTCTTATTGCCATTGGGAACATAACTGGATTTCTGAGTAAGAACAGGGAGTTTACTAAAAACTATGTTCGTGCAAGTGTAGAAGATACGACACAAATGGGAAGAGTTTAATTACCCTTTATAATTTACAGCTGTTCCCGCACTTCTGAATGCAAAGACCAGTACTTATGGTCAGAAACGCAAAAATAAGAACTACAAACTAACTAAATTAAGTAAGAGCTAAATTCAAATACGTTACAAAGACTAGTAACGAGAATATTGGTCTTTTAACTTTATGTATGTAGTAAGGAGAATGCGGGAATACAACAGCACGTCTTCAGTATCAAGAGAATTAAATTCTGGCCATAAAGGCAGACAAAAACTGACTGAAAAGCGCGCGTGAGGTTAAGGTAACGAGAAGCCTCTCTCTCTTTTTTTTTTCTAAAAACCACAACTTAAATACTTAACAGTTTGCAAGCTCAATTTGCATAATCAAAACTAACCTCGTTTATTCTGGCTGGAAGTGGAAAATAAGGAAGGACATTAAAGTTTTAAAATTAAATAAACGTTAGTAAAACTTAAAATCCTTACACGATGACCTTTACATTCTTATCAAATTCAGATCTAGTGTAAATAGACAGCTAAAGATACATACATTCACGCGTACAGAACAAAGCTCCAAACAGACATCCAAAAAGCTAAGAAAAAGAACAGTAATCAATGCATTTTAGGAAATAAAGGTTAAAATATAAATGTAGTTACAATATGTTGGAAGAATGCTAATTATCCAAAAGCTTTAAAATATTTAACTAAATTTCAAAATTATAAACTCTTAATGACATATGATACAAAAATGGAGACCTTAATAAAAGTTATTTTTAATAAAACTTCACTGCAATTCATTCTTAAAATGCCTAAAAGAGTTTATTCATTTCACAGCACTTCCGTTTCATAATTCTCTTTTACTATCCTCTTAAACAGCGAGTTCATCATATATGAGAGCGCTACACAGATATCAGAATGTTTTTTTTTAATCTGAATATCCTGTAGAACAGTTTTTTACGTATTGAAATTATATTTATTTTTTCAATAATATACTGTAGCAAAACCATATTTTGCAAAGTGTATTTCCATTTTGTTTTATATTTACTTATTAATTAGTATATTACATGAAAATGTATGTTCCTTTTCCTCTGAAAAACGAAATAACTGCAAAATATTAACCATAGCATTTTTTGCAGTCTTGATTTTTATGGCATTCACCTGCAGACATTTTGAGAAATTATTAACTGACTGTTATAGTGAATGGTATAGTTCTGGAGTATATTAATATTATTGAAGGATAAGAATCATATCATTAGGCTAGAAGTTTTAAATTTTTATTTTGTACGGTAACAGATTTCAGATGGGTATATTAAAAATTCATTATCTAATATCTAAAGCTTCTGTATTGATTTGAAACCATTTTCATGTACATGTAAAATGATTTAATTCCTAATTTATAAATAACTGTAGTCATCTAGAATATGAATAATGAAACCAAATTACTTCGAATTTTTTTTTTTTGTTTAACCTTTAAATTTATATTAATCTCATTTCTAATTGCCGTAATAAACAAAATTTATATCGCAGATAAGTTTCCTTTTATTTTAAACTCATACTACATCAGGGAACTATCAATTCTTATTTAAGTTCATTAATCAGAAATGCAATAACATTTTGGAACATGGTATTATAGATGTATCGAATCGGGGGTCCACATGCAATATGAAATGTAAACTAGTAAAACGAAAAGAACATCATTCGCTGACTCATAACGAATGAGTATCTTAAACTAAAATGGGGTGGAGGAAATTAATGCTATGCTTTGATGACGGTACGGGTTATGATCATTAATGGATTTCTGGCAACGGCTTTGAATTGCCTATTTTTAAATAACAAGCTGCAGTAGAGCACAGTAGTAAACTAGCGTATGGAAAACAGACAAGATCTGCAACCAAACTAATGCTTGGAGCGGAGACGACTGCGATTGCATATTGATGGTTATTGGCTTCGTTTGAACAATGCGGTTTGCATTGTTCATTTATGCTATTCGTAACTGACATTGTTCAAGCCATGCATTTGAATCATGGGAATTTTTACAAAATGGTCTATAATTCGAACGATTTCAACAGTCCAATTCTGAAGACGAAACAATGTACTACTTCATTTAGCATTTTGTATACTTCCTTAAAAATCCTTAAGTTTTTTATTATATCTAATTAATCATTTGGAATTATTTAAAATGTAATGATATACTAAAATAAACTATAGAATTCATGTTATCCATCTGAGAAAACTGTAAAATTAAAATATTTGTGAATTTTGTTTCCACGCTTATATAAATAAAAAATCTTTTCTTACTCTTAGTAACTTTATGTTTTTTTAAAACAATTTAAGAGCTTTTGATACTTTATTTTTAGGGATCAAGGGGTCTGGATGGGCAAAAAGGTGATTATGGTCCTAAAGGAGATCAAGGAATTCCTGGTCCAGACGGCACGCCTGGTATAGAAGGACCTGAAGGACCGAAGGTAAATACGATTCTCGATGCAAAGTAAATAAGAATTGAGACAAGGCAACAAAAAATAGTTTCTCATAATAATAAATGTGTTTTTCTTTCTAGGGATTCGAAGGTCCGAGAGGCGAAATGGGACCTCCTGGCCCAACGGGTGAGAAGGTAAGGAAAAAGAACACCACTTTTAATTTACACTAGATTATAAGAACGTAAATAATGTACACCGGAAAAGGAAGAAGTCATAGTTCTCTTGCGTAGTGTCTAAAGATGTTTCGCCAAGTTTCAAGAAATATTTGAATAAAACTATGAAAGAACATTTATATTATAAATAGTTGTACCAAAATTTGTTATCGAATCAGGAGGTAGATTTCTACGAAGATGGAATTCAAAAGCTGTGGTTCCATATGTTAAGTACCTTAGTCAGAAATTATATTGAAAAGAAGATTAAGGTCCAATCACCAAAGCAAAAATAAGATTAATGAATTGATTAATTTTATTTTTGCATATTTTGCATATTAATTATGCATCTATTGATTAATTTTACTTTAGATATTACATGAACACTAAAACAGTGAAAATTGTCTTATCAAAAGATGTTTGCTTAAAAAAAACAAGTCTTTTATATTTTGCGTAATGAATTCTTCAAATCCCATACAAGGTGTGATTATCTGATATGTACTCAAAAATTAAATCAAGTAAGGAAACATTTTTTTTCATTAAAATCCAAAAAAACTTCCGATAACTATGACTCGTTTATTTGACAAATTTTTTTGGATGCTGTGCATAAAAATGTTTTAAGGCAGTATTTTACTGTGCAATAAAATTTTAATGTAATTCAAAAGTCATTTATATATAATTGGAAAGAATTATTAAGTAGCTTTAAAAAAAGATCAAACTTGGCTGAAATAAACGTATTTAAAGTAATAACTTGAAAATTAAAAGTTTATTTGCGATTATTTAAATATTTATATTGAAGAGTTAAGTAATTTTTGAACGACTTTTGGTAACCATTGATATTCAATTAATTATTTAATTTAGCCGTTTATATATTCTGCATAGCGATGTTCCGCACGACAAGATTGGTGTGTTATTGAATTAAAATTAGCCTTTTTATCTTAAGAGCTTGACAGAAAATGTATATTTTGCGTAAGAGAGAAACTTCGGAAAATTTTTGCATTATTTAAATGAAGTCAGTGCAATTCATGTTTTGCCATCCCTCCTCTCAAATCTAAAAAACATTAATTGAGAATTAAGCAATTTCAGATGTGTCAACAATTACAATGCAAAACGTACATGAAATGAAATTTTAGCACATGTCTTTTAGAATTATAAAATTAAAAACAAATTTGAAACTATTTAATGATGAAAATAATTTCGAGAACATGAATCTTAGTTTTATATATAATCGTAAAACTGTTTACTGCTACTATGTATTCTGCTGAATTTTTTTTAACATTGGAATAGTGAACTTAAGATAAAATTTTAAAACTGTATCTTTCCAATGATTCCTGTTGCTGGAAAATAAAATAAGGTTAAGATAATGGCATAATTAACTAAAACGTATCCACATTTTCATGTAGTTACACTTTGAAAGGGGATACATATGAAAGCCTTAAAGAAGAATAGTAACTTTAAAACTTGGATTTATGTTATTCAGAGATTTATTTTTCAAATTTGATTATCGCTGTATTATTATGGTATATCGAATATAAGTACTATATATTTTGAAAGCGATACAATTTATTAAATTTCAGTTAAACTTCATCTTCCGAAGACTTGATAGTAAAAGTCTAGTAAGAATAGTAAATTTTACTAACATTTAGAATGTATGTAATGCAGTGAATTTTTATTATAAAAAATTTGTTTAGTTATATATTTGTATTTCAGGGTAAAATAGGAATCCCAGGATTCCCAGGTTATCCTGGTCACCCTGGAGCAAAAGTAAGTATGAAGTCAAAGAGGATATAAAGTGAGTTAAAATCATTTTAAAACCTATACTTAATACACTAATTCCTGCATTTTCACTTAAATACAAAATTTTTAATTAGCCGTAACTGCATAAAAGGAATCATTTATGCACTAATCTTTTTTAGATCATCATACGGATTCTGAAGTATACGGATTCTGAATAAAATGATGAAAAATCTAACTGAGATACCAGTTTGTCAATGAACTTTATATACTTTATATATAAAATATTCAAAGATCTGGATTTCGGTGTAATGTATTCATATTTAAAACTAATTAAAATACAAAATTCTCAGAATTATTCAAGTTCTTTTCATCGTATTTAATTAGATTAATCAGATTGTATCTGTATATTATATAATTAACATTTTACCTCCCTAATTAATTTCATTTAATAGCAAAGCAGAAATGAATCATGAAATCAATGATTTTGATTGTTTTTTAATCTTAATGATAAGGAAATGTGATGAATTTTAAAGTGCTAAAGGGAAAGCGTATCATACTACATCTCAAAAAGAAATTAAAATCATCATAATCTACATTTCTTTTAACTTTTCACATTTATGTCGATGACCTACCTGTACTCCACAATGACTGACTACTGATATTCATGAGGCATCTATTGAAAATAGTACTTATGACTACGTTCATATGATAATTATTTAATTGAAATAATACATCTGTTTAATTAATAATGTAAGAATTAAAAGCATCCTCTCCTCGTATTTCTATATTGCTAGGGTGAGCATACTGAACCTGTTAATCACAGATCCCGCGTTCATCTCCAAGCGATAACAGAAGTTGCATTCAAGGACTTCTCAATTCAAGGACTTCTTCTCTTTTGTCTGCAATAATGTTAATAAATTGAGATCTAAATGTTCAATGAAGATGTTGATTTATATTATCATTCAGAAATACATGCTTTCTTGAATGATAATTTGAATTGCTTTTGCAGTGAAATTATAACCACGGATATCTTAAGTACAAACGAATTCTGTTGCAATGAATATAAAAGAGTAATAAAATTTCTTTTTATAACATTAGTAACTGTACTTATAATGAGTTAAACATTTATTCTAATTTCATAGTTCATTCGTTTCTGTTTCTTGTGATGATGATGTCTTTATATCTGTGTTCGTGTTCGATTGCTTTATTTATAAATATTGTCGATGAATTTCTGAAATAGTTACTATCAAAACCAGTTAAATATATAATTATTAAAGGTTATAATAACAGAAATTTTAAGAGATTTGTGATTTATGTTAAATATTAAATAATACTTTTGTGTTGATAAATTTTACAGTTAATGTGCAAAAATTATAATTTACAATTTACAGTAAAGGACTGTATTTCTGATTTTCACTATTTCACTATTTTTTTAGTAATAAGCAGCTTTATAGAGAACAATGGACAGTTTCCATAAAAGAGAAGTTAAATTTATGTCCCGTCGTTCTTTAATATGTGTATATTGATGTAAATAATTTTAATAAATATATATTCAGAAGCATATTTTTCATATTGTCACTAAGTGGCTAATAATTTGCTTTTCATTTTCTAAAGGGTGAAAAAGGATTTTGGGGCAAACCGGGGAAGAAAGGTGAAAAAGGTGAAAGAGTAAGTACTAGTTAATAATTTTATGATCACTGTTTAACTGCGAAGTTTTTCTAGATGAGACAGAAATTACCTTTAAATAATGTAAAGTGCCTTTAAGTAATGTTAGATTTCAATAACGTTAAGGAAAATTTATTTGTTTAACCAAATTGTGAATATCTCAGCACTATATTAAACAAGGGTTCTCTCTAAGAGTTATTAGAAATTTCACAAAAGCTCATTATTAAAAGTGTTAGATAGATAAACATGTAAAGAAAGTTAAGGAAACTTCTGATTATAATTTATAGAATTACAGCCATTAGCATTTAATAAGCTTGAAACAGGCCAAATACGGTAGAATCTCTTCATTGGAAGCAACCTCGCGAATCTGGATAGATTTCTCCAGATAATTGAATATGTATTTCTAGAACGTACTTATTTACATTTTTCATGCCATCTATAGAAATTTCTACATACAAAGTCTGGTGGCCATGGTTTTTTTTTTATCTATTGACCATAGTTAAATAAAAAATATCTGTGATTCTCGTTATACTTAAAACAGATTATTTAAAATTACAGATTATACATTATTTGAAATTAAAGTACATATACATGATTTTTTATATTTCAGGTAAACAACAGTAAACAACGTTTTAAAATTACCATATACATTATCACACAAATGTTAATAGATTTTTAAGAGTGATGACATACAATGTCTTTCTGCTTATAAGATTGTCTCCGAGATAGTTTAAAAAAGTCGCTGTGTATACAGCAATGTTTCGCAATGCCACGTACGAACATAGATGAATATTTCTCGAAACACCTTATGAAGGTCCATAATTCTTCGTCAGCTTCTTTCCGCATAACCTTCTTGCTCTGCATGTGTTATTTATCTTCAGCCTTCCCTTTTTGATTATCTCCTTTTCCATTGATTATTTCCTTTCCCATTGATTATTTCCTTTCCCACTAGAGATGCCAGATTATTTCGTCATCCTTTTGTGAGAGTATAACGAAAACAGAATTGTCTACCCACACCAAAGCCTGCACTACTTCTTCACGGATACTAACCTTCTTCGAACATATAATTAAATCCATCAAAACCGAGGCAATCATTATTACTCGACTCATCATCTATAAAAGTAATCACAGATCGCAATTTACGTCAACAGCAACATAAAATAATGTTCAGTATAACTCTTTTTAATCAAGAGATAAAGTAAATATGGCGTCCTTCAATATAATGTTTTCTCAATATCATAAACACTATTTTCAAAATTTACACATCGATGCATAAAAAAGGATCGATTGTTCATTTTTGTATTCTGGATAAATTTTTATTCATTGGCTAGATTAAGCTTTGCTACGTTAAGCAGCCTTTTTGTCTAGAATACTTTAAGTTCTATTATTAGCCCATTACATACGTTTATCTGACAGACCTAAATTTCAGATTAAAATTTAAACCTTCAAAAGTGCATAAATTTGTTTTGATATAATCTGTTAATTGGGTGCCAGTTACAACAGATTTAACTGTAATACGCAGTGATGAAATCTCCCATTTTTTACGTTTTGAGTATTATAAGATTTTAGAATCATTACGTTTTAACTCAAAATTTTGGAAAATTTAGTTTTTTTTATGTCCAATAGAAGCATTCATTTAAAAAAATGAGAGAGAGAACACAATTATTACACTTAAACTGAATCATCAGTATCGCCTCTCAGAAGCCTTGCCAGTTTTTCAAGTTTAACATTTTGTACAGAATTTAGAGTTCTGTATTTAGTGCTTATCTAGATTAACTCTTGAAATCAGTACCCTTCTCTCTTCACGTCCTTTGATTTAAAAAAGATTTTAGAAAAATGTAAAAAATATCACGACTCTTACTCAGTTATTTTGCATCAAATTATATAAAGAGAATGAACTTTAAGAATCAAGAATTATTCTTAATTGTGTTCTGTCTTAACTAACTTTTATTGATATCTTCTTAATAAATATAGATGTATTTTTAAAAACTGTTGTTCTTTTTCATCAAAAATATTTAATATAATGTAACTTGTAAGGATCTTAAGTTTTACTAACGTTTATTTTATTTTAAATCTTTACTATAACTTCTTATTTTCTATTTTCTACTTCCGGCCGGCAGAATTAAAAGCGTTAATTATTTATGCAAAGTTTGTCTGGCGAACGCCAAGTATTAAGTTGTGGCTTTTTGCCAAGCGAGAGAGAGGAAGCAGTTAGTCGAAGCAGGCCGCTTACCTTAGAAGTTTTACTCAGTTGCTGGTTGCCTTTCAGGCCAGAGGTTTAATCCTCTTGATAATTTTTAAACGTATTGTAGTGTTCACAGTTCTCTGTACTACATACGGCTTCCTGTTAATATAAGGCCAATCTTCCACGTTTATTATTTTAAAGTTAAATTAGAGTTTAGTGTTTTATTTTTATATTTTTACGTTAGACCACAAGTAGTGGATCTTTGTATTCCGAAGTACGGAAATTATTGTAAATAGAGAAAAATAAAGGGTTTTGTATACCCTTCTTGTGTATCCTGTCTACTTCCCACAGTTTTGAACATAGCTTTAGTAAGCTCTCTGTTCCGAGTCAGGTCCTTGCATGTTCCCGAAGAAGGTAAGACGGAACATTGAACCTGATAAACTGTCTTTTTCATTTTTCTTCTTATTCTTATAAGAAGCATTTGAGAAATAACTGGATTTTTTAGGATTCTGATTCACGAAAATTTATGAATGGAAATAAAATTTTTAAATTTGCGTATAAGGCATTATTTAGTTTTTGACCTCTGAAATTCTCGTTAAAGGTTTTAAAGTTTATAACAGTACACTGTCAATATTTTTATCCCTTCTCTAACAGAGAATGAAAAACAAAAATAGTTTGAAATTAACATAATAGGTAATTTTGAACGCATATCTTTAATGATTACACAAGTTTTTAATATCCATCCGAAAATTCACCCACTGTTTGAAAAAAGGAATTGTAGCTTTTATTTTCACTCATAATCAATCTCACTGCATGATGTTTTTAAATAAATAGAAGTAAGTAACGCTCTTAAACCAAACAAGAGTACTTATTCGTGAAATAGATCAAAAATAAGTTTTATCACTTTGATTAAAAGTATCTAAACTCTACGAATGCGTTATAATGCGTAAATTTCTTATTTATTAAACAATAACTTAATATTTCGTTAAAGCATACATTTTTTAATATTTGTAATTAATTAGCGAAGTATAAAACAAGTGGTGTTAGTTTGTTTTCCTCTCTGAACGGAAAGTTATGTTTTTCGCTGTTTAACTCTTTTAGTTAAATCAGTATATTGCTTCTTTTTGTCTTATTTATCAAATACTAAATATGAAAATATTATCTTTTAAAAACACGATTTTTCGTTATTTTAATTTTTTAAATTATGTTTTTATAATAAATAATTAGTGAATTTTCCAGAACAATATGAGGCATAATTTTTTAATATATAACTGCTTTTGCTCTGTGTTAGAAATGTCGTGTAAAAGTAAAATATTTTTTTTCTATTACTGCTCGTGGTAGTTTGGGAATATTAAACTTGTTAAAATAATTAATTAACTTACGTTTGATTATTGCAATAGAGTAGTCCGTTGTCCGATTAAGGCCATTATATTAATTTTTTTACATTAGTTCATCATTTCATTTTCTAAGACATTATTCACATGGATCTTGACTTAACCGCTTATTATCTATATGAAAAATCATTGTCTGATGTCATTATTCATTAAGCTGAAAGGAAATTTTCATTCGCAGGGTCATCAAGGACTTCCTGGAGATAGGGGCCCTCAAGGACCAAGAGTAAGTAAAATTCTTGTGTTCTAGTGCCATCAAAGTAATTAAATGTTAAGGTATTTTAATAAGAATTACTTCACGACTTCATAAAACGAATTTCGCTACTAACATATGGAAAGTATTCCGAGTTCCTTTTACTATTTAAGTTAGAAAAGATTTTGTTTTTAATTTTGGTTTAATGCTGATTAAAATATATTCTAAAATGCTGAATTGTTTTTAGTTTAATTTTGAAATCTTTGAGATACAATAATATTTCATCCTACTTTACTATTTATTTTATACTTATAATATAGTTCATGATTTATGAAAATTACTATTGCTATGACGCGTTTTTTAGTACTTAGTGCAGTTTAAGAATTTTAAATTAAGTGCTTTTTATTATTCGGATCTTATAAATGAATTCTGAAACTATATAACGTTTATTCTATGATTAATAATTTAAAGATCCGCTTTCAAAATTTTATTTTGATCTAAATATTTCGGTTTTATAAAATTATTCATAATTCCGTGAAAACTGAATATGTTTTAACAGGTAAACTACGCAACCGACACCAAATTTGATTACATTGAAACTCACAAAATTTGTTTTACGAATTTCGCAAATGCTTAATGTGTCCATCTCTCTAATATGTTGATATATATGCGATAACTCTTTTTGTTCGCAATGTGTGCCAATATATCAAGATCGATTACAGCCATAGCCTCTGTGAAACGATTGTAAAGATTCTGGAGATAAGGCATGACGACAAAAAATATCTTTGATAAAATCCCCCAAAATGTCACACTAAATTAAATTCGAAGATTCATTTGCCATCGTTTACACATGTAGCAGTATATCAATATTGATCATAGTCATAGCCTTGGTGAAACTATAGAAAAGATTTTGGAAATTAGAAGGGAGTGGAGGCACAAAAGCGAAAAGCATCCCTGATAAAATCCCACAAGAAAAATTCATAGGTGGCTTATATTAAAAAAACCGTTCACCATGGCATTAAGTAATCACGTCCTCATTCTATACCTCATATAACCTTAGTATAAATACTGGATGAAATGCTCTTGCAAATGGTGCCTGTCAGTGTGCAAATTTTGATTGAAACATTCTTGCAAATCATTTCGATGATGGCTTGTATGTTAGTGAGGCAGACTAGGGTCTTTCTGAAATATGTGACCATGTGATCAAAGCAATTTTAATTGAATTGTGGTACCAGCAAAAATGTCAGGTATAGTCAAGTTAAATCCCTTTTCTTTACTCATAAATGGCGGCCGTATGAGCACTTTTCAAGCATGTAAAAGAACTTAATGAATTTATTTCTGTTTCGGTATTATAAAATTTAATATGCGTTGCGTAGCTTATCTATTATGATATTTTAAAATATGTTGCGGACTGATCTATAACCTGTGCATCTGATTAATAACTCTGAAATTTCAAGAAGATAATTATTTCTTTGTTTTGAAATAATTTCATAAGAAATGCAGTGTCAGATTATGAGATATGTTTGAATCAGAAGGTATTTTTCATTAGAAATTATACGTGTGTAATTATTTATATTCGTGTCATATCAATGAGGTATATGTTGTGTTTCGTGGACTGTGTTACCTATACACTGATATCGCTTACATATTTCTTAGTATTAATATAAGAAGTACTTTTCTTTCATTTTTATTGTCTCTTGATAGTATTTAAAATTTTCGCAACAGTTTTCTGTCACAAAACTGATAGTTTTTCTATATTATTGTATTACTATTGTTTGAAAGATAAAATTTTGATAGTTTCTTGCGGATGATCAAGCTCGCATATGCAGTTTTGTAGGTCATGTGATTGATTAGACGATGTGATCTGGAAGTTTAAATAAAGTAAATGGTGTTAAAAGTAAATGTACTTGCCTATAAGCAGTTTTAATTTAAAACAGAGCTTGACAGTTACCAGGCATTGATTCCTGTTAATGGAGGATTAATTCTTTCTGCATCATTTTCCTCTTTATGGAATAATGATTAACATGTTTTTTTTTTAATTTAATTTCTTAATTTTTTATAAACAGTCCTTTTCACTTCATACACTGTAATTTACGCAGTCACACGTACTATTTTTGAGCCCTTAATACTTTCTTACCTGTTTAGTCTTTTTCACTTCATAAGTTGAGCTGTGTAAGATAATATGTATGATTTTTGTGGTATCATTAATACTATTTCAAATATCATCATTTATATTTGTCCAACGCCTCTGTCAGAAAAGTAAGGAAAGGAAGAAAAGTAAGAAATCATGTTTTGGATGAGCACAAAAATCGTTTTAGGCGACAGTTTTGAATATTTAACTAAAAGTTGAAAAATTCTTCTAATATTTCGTTAAAAGACAAATGCAAGACATTAGTATTAATTTTTAGAGCTATATCTATCTATCTATCTATATCTATCTATATATATATAGAGAGAGAGAGCAATATGGTCTGATGTCTGCTAGGCATTCAGATTGACCCTATTTCAAAACTAATGTTTTGCTTTCGTCTTTCAATTCTATATTATTATATTTACAATACTTCTTCTTAATTTGGTAGTTTCCTCTTTCCATGGTAAAAGTAATAACTGCTTATAATAAATCACTCTAAATTGCGTGATTTCAAACTAAATCCGTATCACACGATTCGTACATAAAGATGCTGACACAGTACTTATACAATGACTCAAACAATAATAATTTTGAATTTTGAGAACCGCGACTCAAACAGCCAGGTAAAACGAAGTAACTTTTAAAAGAGCGTTACATCGAAAGTGTATAAAATATTTAAACAGAAGACATTCAAGATGCTACCCATGACATTTTTATAACTGATTTTAATCTTCTTAATGCGAGTGAACCTTTGATAATTTAAAATATTTAAAATTCTGATTTCTTATGTAGGGTAATCGTGGAGTGCGCGGAAGACAAGGCAAAACTGGACAGCCTGGTGAGAAAGTAAGTTTTGTTTTCTTCAACAGAGGAAAAGCATTTTCTTATTATGCATTTCTAATGTTTTTAAAATTAAGTTTTCCTACGGTTTTATTTTTATAAATGGAAATTGTTCGTCTGTATTCTAACACATTTCTTTATTTATATATAGTAAAATAAGATATCTTAATAAAATATTTTGTTGGAGAAACATAGTCTGCCCGTAAAGTTCGTGAACTAGTGTTGCTACTCTCCACTCGTCAACATTAAAACGAGGCCAAGATTGTAAAAATCACAGTCAGGGTGTTCCTTGCTTTCAGAACAAGTTTCGCTCTTGTGAGACGCGTATATAAGAAATAACGACTTTTTATTTATAAACTTTTTTTTTTTTTTTTTTTTTTTTTGTGCATAGTAAAGATGAAAAACGATATATTAATTGAATAACGGTCGAATGCAATGTTTTTGATGAAGCTTAGGACAAATGATACCGAAATTTATAAAAATGTTGAAGCGAATGTACGAAATTAATTTTAACTGATGTAGATTCCTTTTTAGTAGAGACGCTTTCAGCAATTCAATAGTATTGCCTTTTTCAATAGATTTGATTTTAGCAGAAAGCACTTTCGCCGATTTAATACTATCGCCATCTATGTTGTGTAGTAGCTACAGAATTGCATTTGAAACTGAAATCTACTGTATGCTTGAAAATCATTCCTTTTTTTCAGCTGCAGTATCGCAACTGAAAAAGGCAATAATGTTAAATCTCTCTGCTATTGCAAAATTTGCAAAATCTATACCAATTTACGCTGTTTTCTTACTCAGTTTACTTAGTTAGTTTCTTACTCAGTTAGTTTTAATAGGCATTTCATTCTTTCCCTCACTGAGGCAGCTATACGAAGCATCTACGTTGCAAAGGTCAACATCGTTCAAATTGATTAATAATTTTCAACGGGATGAGGAGACTTGATTGGTGATGTGAAAATCAGAAGGCTTTCATTTGCGTTTGTCGATGAAAACCTTTTTGTGCTATCGTGTGCAGTGCGTTCAAAGATTGACTGTTAAAATGATTATTGAAAAGCTAAATTTATCAAAAACGACCATTCACACGATTTGGGTTGAGAAACTAAAAATAAAAAAAACTATGTAGAAAGATCGTGCCTACATTTTATTTACTGACTAAACGCTATGCTAACTGCTGAAATAGTGATTTTTTGTTTGGACGATTACCAGAGACAAGTGCGAAAATAGTTTAGCATTGTTGTCGCTGAGCAAGGGAGTAAAAGATGAATGGAAAACTCTTCCAGAAAATTATCTCGAAGAAGTAGATTCAAAGTCATAATTAGAGTCATTAGTTTTTCTGCCATTCGTAGAATTGTGCGTCATGAGATCGTGTACTACCGTAGTTTTTGGAAGCGGACCAATTTTGTATTGTGAAAATGCACGATCCCACACAGCCTTAGTTGTTCGTAAATTCCTAAATCATAATTAATTTACTTGAATATCTCATTTCTGACTTGGGATCTTGAAAAAGTTTTCTATTTCCAAATATCAAAATGAGATTGCAGGAACAACATTTAAAACACGGGAAAAATATTAGAACGGAAGTGAAGAAGCAATATGAGGTTATCAGAAACAGCCTGTAGCACTACTACAATTGTTAGCAAAAGTGCATTAGTAGCGAAGGGAACTATGTTGAACGTAACCATGTTGATATACTTGAATAAAATCATATGAAGACTGTACATACTTTAACCATGGACACTGTGGCAGAATAAGTATGTTTTAAGACAGTACTTTAACAAATGCGTGTATGTTAACAACTGGGATTCCAAAACGATCTACATCAGAAAGACAGCCACAGTCGATCATGTTAATACACTTGAATGCAAAATTAAGATAATTTGAAAATTATGTCTACTTTTATGAAATTTATTGAACATATTTACGCTGCTGAAGAATTATGCAAATATTTAGAATCGAATACGTAAGCATACACTGTGGAAGGAATATAAGCGCGCGGCTGATCTTTGACGATTTGTGAACTCCTACTCCTTCCCTACATTCGCCATGTTTCTAGCAAGAGTTAGTAAATTTGATAAGGTATCAGGTAATATGAGTAGCCATGAACCTATGGATGACGGAATGAGATGGATAATTGTCGGTAGAGTGGAAGCAAGCCAATCACAAGTGCAGAAGACTTCAGAACTGAATTTAACGCCCATTGTCGTCTGCAATTTCTAGAAACAGTTTCAGGACACTGGATCCATATCTAGAAGACCGACCTGAAGAAAGTCGATCAAGATCCACAAAGAAGCATGAGTACCGTTATTTGATCCTTTTAGGCGGCGATTCAGAACTGGTGCAGCTGTCATGTGAGCTGTATGTTGCCACTGGATTATGAGTTTCACTGCCTAAATTTGTCCGAAGGTTTTTTTTCGAATTAGGAGTGTACGTCAGAAAATTTATGTTTGCCTTCCGCTCTCTGAAGCACACAAAATATGTTATGTATAATTTAGAACAATTTGTTGAGTTCTGGAATTGAAAATTCTGAAAATATATTGGCTCATAATTTTAAGCAATGAAACATTGAGTTACAGATTCCATCAAGAATGGGAAAGATGGAATTACATGGAACATCTGGAAATGTAAAAAAATATGAAATTTGTATTAGAAGAGCATTTAAACTGAAACTTCTTGGTATGGCATTCCTTGTCTAAACATGGTATTTCTCAACCCCTTATAGGTAAATGAAAATCAATGAACTGCTGAGTATTTGTTTAAATGACTAATTTTATGGAAAGTAAGTAAGTATAAGCAGGAGGATTTTTCTGGATAAATCCGAATAATTAAACAATATGAAGAAATCGTTATCAACGATGATGTGGTCTCTCAAAAAGAATTTATTCAGGGTTTCAGATAAGAGATAATATCTGAGATCAAGTAACACGCCGAATAACTATTATTAGAGGTGTTAAGGCAATTAATATTCGTAAATTTTCACGGCTACTTTCGAAGATTTAAGCATAGAACGTTATTCTTCAGCTGCAGAAGTTATTCTTCAGCTGCAATGCACTTTTGCAGCTGAAAAAGAAAGTTCTATGCTTAAACATTTTGCGGAAGAAGCTGAAGGAAATTTTAAAAAATACAAAATCAGTGCATGCTAGCGAATGTTAGCGAGTCAAATGTACCAAGTCTCGGCTTGCCAGCTCCAGGTATTTTGAAACCTTGCTTTCATCAGAATTCATGTGACATTTAAACTAATTAAAAAATATATGCAATGTATATGGGAATACGCATGTCTCACAATCAATACTGTTTAGCAGTTTTCTCTTACAATTGATATTAATACATTATAGTACTTGTTTTCTTTCATTATATATAAAAAAATTCTTTCCACGTTCAGGGTAGTACCGGAGAACCTGGTTCACCAGGACCACAAGGTGAAAGAGGACCCCAAGGAGTACAAGGACAAAGAGGTTTTGCTGGTCCACCAGGGCCACCGGTAAGTTTAAAATTTCTTTTATCTGTTTGTATTTGCTCTATAAAACAAACGTTATTATAAATCAATCTTTTTCTTAAGCACAGATGGAATTAAAAAAGGAATGAAAATTATTCGTTAAACATTTCTAAATTAAAGAGCTGCGAAATCGTCTAGAACTAGGCATTTTGTTTTCATGTGTTACTAGATTATTTTGCCTATTGGTAAAAGTACATTGTGAGTCAGACAATGATACAGGTACAATGATAATGATACTGTTCAGACAATGATAATGATAGTGTACAAATATGTATGGTCTTATAAATTATAAATGATTTAATACACTGACAAACATTCAAAATCTTTGATTGCTAAAATCTGTTCAAAATATAAGCAATCAATGACCAATATTCGAGAGTGTTCTAACAAACTAGTTAAAAGATAAAATGTTTGTTCAAGATTTTTTTAAATTTTTGTGTGTATCCCACAGTGCACAGACGGTATGACCTAGAAGTATAAAATTCAGCATATAACATTTTGTTTTCTTCCCAAAAGACTTTTTGAAGTATTTTTTTTTTTCAAAATGCGATTTAGATTTTGTTGACTGAATATTGTAGATATCTGCTGCAAAATGTTTTTTGCTTTGATCGAAATTTTCAGTCTGCACCTCATAATAAATCGGTAAACTATTTTCCAAGTAAAGTTTATTTCACATCTGTAACATAATTTATAAAAATCCAGCAGTTTTCTGAAGCCTTTGGTTTCTTTCGATCATTATATCTCTAATGATTTGAAATATTCACAGCTTATAAAAGTAACTTTTGCTCTCTGTTAAAACAAAATGATAAAATATATTAATTAGGTGATTTTCTACAATTGTGTAATCTATCGTGTTATGATTTCAAGTGGTATAATCGAGCTCTCGCTTTTTTAGCCGAAGTCATCCTGTGCAATAGCACTTGCTTTGTTACTATACTATGTAACAACATGTAGCTTTGTCGATGTACTGTTTGTAAGTTAGATTTTAGGAAGTCTTAGCGCATCATTCTCACATTAAGATCCGCCAGCATAACTTTTCTGATATAAAACCCCTTAATGTCAGACTTTAAAAGTCTGAAGTGCAGGTGTTGGAATTTAGCAATAGAACTTTAATTTCTTTTTTTCAGGACTTTATAAACTTCCATAAATCCATTTGATATTCTCTTTAATTAACGGTTCGGGGAACATAGCCAATGATTTGCATTTTATTTAGAAACTAATGCCACAAATAATAAGATATTTTCTTAGCAGTCTTAGATGGAAATATTTCTAACAGCACAATGTGCTACGCGAGTTTAGTATTCTAAATTTGAACTTAGGAAATTATTATTGTTATTAGCTTACACTAATATGGATGTTTAAATAGTTTGAAAACCTTTCCAAAATAGTTTTCCTCAATCCGAAAAAGTAACTTTTTTTTTTTTAGAATATGATAAATTATTGTAACATATATTTTATATAAATATGTGTGAATAACGTCATCTGCTAGAGCATAATAATATATGTTAGTATATATGAATGCGTTTTTATTTTTTCAAGATATTAGATAAATGTAACACTTCGTTTAATAACGAACTAATTCCTCAATAACCATCTGCATTTCTTTAAAATTTTATATAATACGTAAAGGTATTTTCTATTTTAATAGGGAGCAAGAGGAAAAGATGGTAATCCCGGAATGCCAGGAGAAAGAGGCCCTCCTGTAAGTAAGCTTTCTTTTTCAGTAGTTCTATCCAAAGAGCACGTATTCAAAATTAATGTTACAACTAGTTGAGAATTTCTGAATATTGACTTCGAGTTTATTGTGTATTATCATAGGGTAATTATTAACGGTAAATACAAATAAATTAACATAGTACTGATAAGTACAATTGTATCACTTAAACTTATTTCTGTTTTATCAGCCATAAAAGTTTTCGTATGTCATAAGCTTCTTATTTAATTTAAGACAGACTTTGCCAGAAAAAAAAAAAAAACCACATCTGCTGACATAAAGCAGTTTGCTGAAAAACCTGAGGTTAACTTTTGTATACTTACTTACAAATAACTGAAACGATTGTAACTGAAACGATGTCTACAGATAAATGAATTTAATTACACTTCTCTTCAGAGTTTTGTAAATAATCATCTGGTAAATTTATTCTTTGAGCCAGCCGTACAAAAGAACTCACATCTGTTATATAATCAGTGTTAATATCTAAATATTACACAATTAACTGTACTATCTAATTAGAAATTAATTAACACATTTATTTTCTCTTGAATCCAGCCAAGTCGACTTGCAGCCAATTAGCCCTTCTCCTTTAATCTCAGTTTCACTTTTCTTCATTATTTTGTTTTTCGGCGTCTGCTACCTGTCTTGATGTACAAGAAAAGGAAATTTCAAATGAATGCCAGCTTTATTCGGTCTCATAAAGTTACTGTATTTTTCCTAATATATTTTGGAATTGATTCAATGCATTTTTAAGAAAGCGGTTTTTTTAAAGTTGGAATATTCTGACATCAAAGGTGTTAGATCATACATGTACATTGACAAAGCTTATCTATACTAGAATAACCACCGTAAGTTTGAAATAATATCTTAGTATTACCAAGGTTTGTTTAAGCACTTTAAATAAAACATCTTTGAGTTTTTTTTTTTTTTTTTTTTTTTCAGTAATTTGATTTTGAACGCTAGTAAAATAGAAAATATTCCGTTTGAGGAAAATATTTATCATAATCCTTATACGCCAGTGATTAAATTAAATAAATGCAATATGTCTTGAATAATAGGTTTTTTCCCTTTATTAAATAAGAAAATGAACTCCATTGGATATTAATTTGCGATGAAATATCATAATGCATTTCCCTCTACCAACTGGTTACGCCATTTTGAATAGATATTTTAAATACAAGTTTTTATGTTCTATACTCTGTAATTTAGGTAGGATAATTCTTAAACTTCTGTCGTAACTGTTTAGCTTAAAATTCTTTTCGACTTTAAACTGAAATCTTCATGCCAAGACCAGATTGAATGTTTTTAAAATTTTAGAAGTTTTTATATATTTTTATTTTTGAAAACTCCGACTGTGATCTTCTCGAAATGTTAGACTGTAATCTTAAATTTTAGACCGCAGTTTTTTAATATTTGTTTTCCATTATAAATTTATTTTGTTGAATTGAATTTTTAACAATTTTTGTCATTGATTAATTCTATCAAATTAATTTCAGTTAGATTAATTCTATTAAATTACTTTTAGTTTAATTAATTCTATTAAATTACATTCAGTTTCTTTCGCACGTTTAAAAGAACATGAAATTTAAAGAAATATCGTTATTTTATGCATAGAATATAGTAGTGAAATTGGCATTATAAAGTTTTAGTATTGACAAGCACAGAATTTTACAAATAATACCTTCCTTAAAAATGAACGTAAAGTTTTAAAATTAAAATATGAAAACTATAGCATAAAAATCGAATAATGAAATTTTATCATAAAATATCTCATAAAACTCCCTCTTCTGTTCCACATTTTTCTTACGTAAATGTGTGCTGTGAAATCTATATTCAGTAACGCATTCACAATAATTCAATTTTGTTTAATTTTTTATCCTGAAAGAACAAAATCGAACGTACTTTGGGAGTATTTGCGAATATTTTGCTGGGAAGTTTATCAGAATTTGAAGAGAGAAGAAAGATTGCGTGCCAAATGAGTATCTAATCAAGTCGGGCAAAATATTTTAATGAATAAGGAAAAAAATATGACGGTTCTCCTTGAATTAATGCTAAAGTAAATAGACCCAAATTATATTTTTTTAAAGCTAGGTTCGTAGATTCTTAGAAAAGACACTGAAAAAATTCTTTAGCTAATAGGTTGCTAAAGTTTCTTTTTCAGTTCGGAATTAAATAAATATTCAGATTTCTCATACTGAGAATACGAATTAACAAGTTAAACATTTGCACAACTTGTTCGTAGTTTGAGTAGGTTTTTAAAAAGAAAATTTTGCATAGAATGAGATATACTGAGAGATAACAAAAATATTTATGAATAAAGGAATCATTATCTTTTATGACTGTGCGAGTACAGTTTGAATTTTGTCTGGTGCTGCGTCTATAGTCAATAAAAAGCAGACGAGAGAAGATAATGTGAGCGGCTAGTTAAGCATAAAGTAAATTCAGAGCTTCTGTGTAGTTTATGGTTTACACACATACATGACAAATCTGTAGAGTTTACTAGGATTTTCGATTATTGTCCCCACGAGATTCGAACAACGAAATTTCTGCTCACTAGTTGAACGTATTAGCCAGCGAAGTTCCATAATTCTTTGTATTACACCTATTTAAAGGTCACCTTGTCAGTTAAGGCGAGTTATCGTCCTCTACATTTTAATTCGGGTGCCACTGTAGAGACCATTGGGACCTAGTTGCAGGAAGCGCGAAAATCAGCTATGCCCTCTCCAGGTTTCGAACCACAGATCTTCCAGCTGCTTGCTGGGTATGCTAACCACTTGAACTTTGAGAGCACCGATGAGAAAATGCGAGTAATTTCTTATAAATCTAAAGTAAATATCAATTTTTTAACTGAATGAGATAATAGGAAGCTAAACACCACGCATATTAGTAACACATACGATGGTCCCAACAGTTATCAGATATAGCAATTAGTTATGCTATATTTTGAAACTGTGAAATATAAGTACCTGAAGCAGGAGGAGAAACCAGAAAGCGCATTTCTTATCTAAGCAAGAAACTATAATAAAAACCTTCGTATCTTCTCGAAAACCTACAGCCACGAAACGCAGTTCATTAAAAGAATACTGCCTTAAAAAGCTTCGAACTGGAACAGTATGATCGAACATTGATGTCTTTTAAAAGTCTAAATCATCATTTTCCAAATATAAAATAAACTGTATCGTGTACAATCTTATTATTAAAATCCAATTTTCTACATATTGTAGCTTTGCGGTAAAATCATTAAGGAGTGTTATATTTTAAACTATATAACTCGTTAAGTACAAACTGTTAGAAAAAATTAGCATTCACTTGTAGTTTGATTGTGTAAAAATTGAATACTATGAAAGATTTATACCTTTTTTATCTGCTTTAGATCATGCTTTTACTTAGCGATAAAATTGCCTTGGCTGGCCGTTTTGAAGAAGTAAGGCAGGGGTATATGAAATGAAGCATACATTTATATATGAACTTTATACATGCTTTGTCAAATTTGAATATTTTTAGGAAATTTTACTTTGTATATATGTATTTATGTAAATATATTTATATTTTAATAAAAGTTAATTTCAAAAGTTATTTTATAAAACAAAAATCTTTCGTTTTACAATATGGAATGAATCATTTGCTATCATATAAATCTTCTTTAGTAAACAGGAACCAGTTTTACAGTAAGTGGTTATCTGGACTATTTATAAATGTATATGCAAATATATAGTAATGCTATATTTTTATATAGTAACTATTTCTTAATAATTTAGGGCTTTTTAGTTTGTAATATGATCCATAAAAGGATTCAATTATTCTGCGGTCATCAACCACATTGAAACAAAATGGCAAATATTGCTAATGCGCGTTGTTTTGTCGGCGTCTGAAAATCATCGCTTATCAATCCAATAAGCTCACATTTCTTTCTTTATAATGATTGTGCTGGTTTATTCTGAAATTACATAAAATACTATAAGCTGCTCACTGATAGTGCTTCTTCACTTAGGGTGAACCCGGGCCACCTGGACCACCAGGACCTCCAGGCGTTGTTGGACCCCAGGTATGTAGATTCCATCGAAATCATCTGCAGTTTCATACGGTTATATAGCAAAACAGTAATATATGGTAACAATTAAAGTAACACATAGTAATTTATAAATAAGATTATTTGTAACTTAAAAAATTTATTAAAAATTTGTTTAAATGTTTTAATTGTTAGCTGGGATGACAGTTTATTGATAACTATGTTTTTTGGGATTTATTGAAATTATTGATGTACATGCGACATGCGACGAAGGACGTGGGCACCATCCCTCTACCATTAGGGTTAATTGGTATAGCGCCACGTCCACCTGTGTCTAGTGAAACGTGCCAAGGTCACTGAGTCCACAAAAACGCCTCGCACCGACCACTGAAACCCAGCGTCTGATGCAGGCCACATTGCATCAGCTATACCCTTGCGGCCACTGGGAAATTATTTTACAAATATTGTAGAAAATGACATGGCTAAACAAGGGTCATCACTGCTGCTGCAGGCTGAATTATCAGACATTAGTATGCACAAGTTGCTGAATTATATACCAGATTACTAAATTATATATTGGAGTACAATATGGTATAGAATCATGTAATGCATAGTAAGATTATGCTAATGCTCAAAATACATATTGAAACAGGAAATATTATACATATTGAATTATGACACTTACTGTATCTGAACATACTAAGATATGATATACATGATGAGGTTATACAGATACTTCTGAGACTTGAAATACATGGTGAAACATTAAATACTGTACATACTGAACATGAGCATACTATGACTGAGCATATTGAAACATGAAATATATAGTGAGATATTACTGATTACGCTAATTACACGAGATACCTGATGAAACATGAAATACTGTACGTACTGAGACAGAAAACATACTATAACAGAGCATACCGGAACGTGAAATGCATGGTAAGATTATACTGATATAAGATACTGAATTATATACAGGATTATATACAAGCTGCATTATATACAAGAGAGATATTTGTATAACAAACATAGAAGGCATAGTGAGATTGTACTGAGACTTGAAAAACATGTTGGAACAGGAAATGCTGAACATACTGAAAACATATAACATACTATAATTGTACATTCTAATACGTGAAATACATAATGTACTGCTACAAAGTACTGAGTTATATACGGAATACTTAATTATATCCAGGAGAGATATACATATGTCAATATTGAATTGTATAGAAAGGTTATACTGGTGCTTGAGGTACATAGTAAAGCACATTGTATCTGAGCATTCTGAAACACGAGGGTAACATAATGAGGATATACTGAAATAAGATACTGATACTAATACTTATGTTATACTGATATTTGAAAGACAGAGAAACATGGGAAACTGAACATACTGAAACATGAAACATGCTGTTACTGAATAAAATGTGACATGAAGTACCTTGTGAGTTTATACTGATGCAAGATGCTAAATTAGATACCGGATTACTGAGTTATACAAGGAGGATATATGAATTACAAATTTGAAATACATAGTAAGGTAATTGATACATAGAAAGGGTGACATTATGCTGATATAAGATAATAAATTATATACAGGATTACTGAATTAAATATGGGAGAGAAATACGTATTATAATGTTAAATACGTAGCAAGATATGCAGACAGACGCTACAAGAATACATAAACAAAACAGTTCACTTGGTGACAGGATATAGGAGTGTGTAATAATGGCGTATATAAATTACAGACTTGAGATGCATAGTGCGGTGATATTGAAACATAGAGAGGGTGAGATTATACTGATACGAGATAGTGAGTTATATACATGATTACTGAATTAAATACCGGGGGAAAAAACGCATTGCAAATTTAATACGTATAGTGAAATTGCAGACTGGCGTTACAAAAATACGAAGATAACAGTGCATTGGTGGCAGAATATAGGAGTACATAAAGCATACATTTGGTATTTCATGTGTACATATGATGCTGCTGACTGTGATTACAGATGCTGCCATTACTGCGTTTTATGAAGACAAAGTACTTGTATACTACTGCTGCATACATAATAAGTTAGAGCCATTCATATGTGCAGTTACAATTATATAATGCTGCCAGTGAGCTCCCTTTAGCTGGTATGGGAATGTTGCATGATGCACTAAGTACTCTTAAATGGTTTACACTTGGCATAGGTTTGTTCCTAAGCCCATAAGCTTGTCAACAATTTTTGTAATGCTGCGTTTGAGATGTCGCTGCTTAATTATGAACCTGCTGAAGGCTAATCTGTTTGTCTCTGGGAACGGGATGTGTAGATCCTCCGTTAGTGAGCATTTTTCGACATAGTGTTCTGGCGTTCCCAGTTCACCGCAGCAACATAAGGAGGTAGTCGTCTTGCCGAATCTTTCAAAGTAGACTGGGAACGGGCCATGCCCGGTAATATAGTAGACCAGTTGTGGATTTACTATAAGACGTTCTGGATCAACCTTTGGCAGATGCGCATACGCACGACGTCCTGTCTCATCGTTGTTCCATGCCTCTTGCCACAGTGTGAAAGCGACCTGTTTCAAGCTCTTTTTTAGATATGAGGTGGGCCATGGAATTTGCAGTGTCTCTGCATCATTATTTTGGGCTGCTTCTTTTGCGAGCCGATCTGCGGCCTCATTCCCAAGGTTGCCAATATGCGCTTTTGTCCATTCTAGGTTGATTTTTAAGGTCTTGTGAAAAGAGAGTTGTTCTTGAATTGCTGCAATTATGGGGGAGCCGTGCATAGGATTTAATATAGCATATAATGCTGACAGACTGTCTGTTATTATAAAACTGTTTTGATGTCGATATTGGGTAATAGTGTTTATTGCGTGATAAATGGCTGCGGCTTCGCTTTGAAAAACACTGTTTCTGGATTCCAAGTGTCCTTTCCATTGGCGTATTGGTTGCTGTTGCCGAAATGCGATGTATGCACAGCCAACATTCTCGTCAGTTTTTGAGCCATCTGTGTAGAATACGATATCATTGTCCGTAGCTCTTGTGTTTTGCTTAATATTAATGTGCACGCCTTGGCCTTGCGTCGACGGGTGTGTGTGGAGGCGATTGGACTCCCGTTCTAGGTTATCTGCCGTAAAAGTATGGTCACCAAACACCGCAGGGCGGCTAAGCTGCTTCACCAATTGGTAGGCTGCCTCTTTTTCCACATTTATGTAAAGAGGGGGCAATCCGGCCAGGACATTGAGTGCATTCGTTGGAGATGTTCTAAAAGCTTTAGTAATGTTGAGCAGGAACGGCCTTTGTATACTCTGTAGATATTTTATTTTGCGTCCTTGCATCGGAGAGGCCCATATTGCAGCTCCATATGTTACTATTTTCTCAGTGACTGTCATATACAGGGTCTTGAGTAAATGGGGGTTAAGTCCCCATCTGTAACCATTCATCAACTTGAGCTTGAGGGCAATCTGTGCTGTTCGTTTCCTAAGCTCCAGCACGTGAGGGATCCAGTTTAGTTTATCATCAAAAGTTATGCCCAGGTACTTTAGTTCTCGCTTAATGCGGAGTCTTTGGCCGTTGAGCGTTATTCTAAGTTGGCGTGCGAGTGTGCCCCCCTTTTTTAGGAATCAGCAGTATTTGAGATTTTGTCTCAGCTATTTGGAGTTTTATTGCTGTGCATCGCTCCTGGAAGAAGTTGCACGATTCCTTGGAATTTGCTTGCAACTGTTCCCTGGTGTTTCCTTTCACAATTAGAGCTGTATCGTCCGCGTATGCAATTATTTTTGTGTGTTCCGGCCACGGCTGTGTGAGTATGATGTTGTACGTTACGTTCCATAGAAACGGCCCTGCGCAGGAACCTTGCGGACATCCTTGGGTTTGGTCTTGCTGGATGACACCGCTGTTATGCGGTAGAATCAATTTTCGCTCTGAAAGGTAACTCTCCAGGGTGTGGTAAATATTCCGTGGACATTTTGCCTCTCTCAGGGCATGTTGTATGGCCGGCCACCACAGAGTGTCAAAGGCACTCTTTAGATCTAATGATATGAATGCTGTGTGGTGGCCGGTAAATTTGTTCTCTAAAATGCTCTCCTTGACTTCCATGAGTGCGTGGATTGTTGATCTTCCTGCTCTAAATCCGTATTGGTTTCCGCTTAAGTATTTGGTAGTATGCAGGTGGTGTCGCAGTCTGTTCATGAGTAACTTTTCAAATGTCTTACCAAGCGCTGATAGTAGGCATATTGGACGATAGGAGTCCGCTCTTTTTGGGTCTTTATTCTTTTTGAGGAAAAGAATAACTTGACCAATTTTGAAGCACCTGGGGAATGTGCCAGTGGAAAGCAGTTTGTTGAAAAGGGTACGGAAGAGGTTGACGTGCGACCGTATTGCGATCTTAACTATTCGATAGTTTATTCCGTCTGGCCCCGGTGCTTTCTTTTGCGGTAGCTGTCTTTTTGTTTTTTTTTTTTTTTTTTTTTTTTTTTTTTTTTTTTTTTTTTTTTTTTTTTTTTTTTTTTTTTTTTTTTTTGTCGCAGGACATGTAGGATTTCTTGATTTGTGAAAAGAGCATCGTTCATGGCATCTGTAGCCAGGGTTTGGTTACGCATGGTTGCTTGTGTCGTTGTGTCATCTGTAGGATCGTCCTTCGTAAAGACCGTGTTGAGCACTTCTGTAAATGTAGCTTCAGTAAGGTGTTCATTGGTGTTAGGTATTGGCAGGAGATGAAAGGAGGCCTGTTTGAACAGCTTTCCCGCCACTATCTTGTGATGTATGCCGTAGGTATTTGTAGTTTCTGTACAGAACTTTCTCCAGCTGTCCAGTTTGGCGGTAATGATCATTTTTTTGTATTGGGCCCTTTCCTTCTGATATATAGTGAGTGTGTTAGAGGTGATGCTCAGTCGTCGCTCACTTTTTAGCCGTCGTCTTAAGGCACGACACTTTTGCTGTTGCGCGCGTAATTGGCTATTCCACCAGTTTAATGTGGTGACCCGTCGTATTGTTCGTACTGGTAGGATGTCGTCACAAGTCGTCCTAATGGTTGACATCA